AGCAAGCATGCAGTCATGTTTTGCTAAGTTAATGGTGTTCAGTGCAAGATCTGTGCCTATGCTTTCCCCTTACTCATGTGATGCTTCTGAGGTGCTATCTCTGTTGTGCACTTGGAATGTCTGAAGACAGCTCTCATGGGAGACTGATTTTGAAGCCTGTTGCTGCTTTCAAAGAGGCTTTGAAAAAAGTTGCTCAATTACTTGTATTAGCTTTTGAATAACAGCCCTGCAAAAACATCAGGCCAATCTTACAGTTGCACTTTCAAGATGACATTTTGCCAGCAGCGGTGGTGAGTATCAAAGCTGTAACTGTAATACTATAAGTAGTACTCTACCTGATTGCAGAATTGGTGGACTGGAAGGCATCTTTTCTCCTTGGTATGGCCTTCTCACAGAGGGATGGGTGGCAAGAGTTTGAACATGTTCGCCTGCCCCTCTCAGAGTCCCACTGGTGGGAGGACAAGGGGGGCTGGCAGAGGCCTAGGCTGCTTCTATGGGATGGTGCCAATGGAAGAGCTTTGTGGCGAGTGGGGCAATGTTAACCTGGGTGACTTTTTTTGGGTTGCAAGTTACTAAAATACCAGGGATCTTCTTGCTGAAGAAGAGGACAAGAACCTGCTCTGCCTTTTGGCAGAAGAGATTGCTGGGATTGTTTGGACAGTGGCAGTCTGATGCCTGTCTTACTGCTAACAATTTTGGACTTCGGAATTTTGTAGCAAAGCAAGTGAGAAGGTTTGCCTTACATGGCATTCAGGAGAAAGTAACCCATGCAAAAACCTAGCAGGCTTTATTCAGATGGCCTTGCTCCATCTGGGGACTATCATGAAGTTCAAGGAATATATATCCTTATCCTTCAGCTCTTTCAGTTTTGTGTCAGCAGCAGGTCCTTTTCTCCCCATCCCCCAAACAGCCAATATGCAAAGTTAGAAGACTGAAGTCTGCTGAGCAGCTACTTCTGATTTGCTGCTAGATATATGAGTTATAGAAATGTGATCACTGCCTACTGCAAATCTTGCCACTCTGAAAGGGTTGTAGGATGCCCAGGGTTTTTTTGGGGTGGGAGAAGAGGTTGGGGTGCATGGGTTGTTTTTCTTTTCTGATGGGAAGAATGAAAAAGCAGTAACAGAAGTGTGTAAATGTGTGTGAGCTGACACTAGTCATGTACTTGGAGTTTGTGTGTGTGGAGTGAAGCAGCTGAGATAAATTTGTTTCCTTCTGACAGCAAGCTAGGCAAAGACAGCCTTTCTGTTTGTACACTGCATCTGTAGGTCTGTGATGCTTCCTTGACTTTCATTATAAAATCTTCAGCATTGTAGGTGCTACAGACCCTGAGGGGATACACTTTATAGCAGAATTCTGGAAAAATTTCTATACAATAAAATAATTATAAATCATTACCCAAATAGCCAGACCTAATAAAAATAGCAAACTAGCAGTGGTGGATACATACGTATTTGCCAGATATCTGTTCCAAGATTTTTATTTCATGGTTTGACTGCAGCATGCTACCTATGCTGTTGGGGATGGTAATTTCTGTAGTGTGATGACAAATATGGCTTACTGGACAAAGAGAGGTCCCCTTAATATTGCTCTGGTAAATGTACTTCATCACAGTCTTGTTGTTAGTGCTGTCAAATAGCTTAGATGAAGCATGAATGGTGTGTTGGAAAGATTAATTTTGTCAGGGATACTTAGGGCAAGGGTAGCTAACGTCTCAGAAGGGGTAGTTTACAAGCACTTGCATGATTAGCCCAACTGTTTTGCTTCATAATTAATTCATGAATGAAGCTGTGATTTCTGTCTGGAACTAGAAAGTTAATCTCTGATAGTCATCATGAAAAACAAAATTACTCTTCTAGGACCACTATAATCAAAGAATGTAATCTTCTGCCTTCAGAATCCTGATGATATTGTGACTGCATGTGTTCATAATATATGTGACCATAGAGTCCTTGGTTTTTCAAGTTAAACCTTAGAGTAACTACACTATACTTTATAGTGCATGTGTACTTTCAAGAGTAGGAGGAGAGTTGAGTCCACTGACTGAATTCTCTTTTTGTGTGTTTGTTATTTAATAGGGCAGGTATTTTTCTGTTATACAAGAAGACTTACTGATTTTACTCGTCAAAACTATTGACTGTGAATTTGATTGAATTCTATTTTGGTGATGGGTAGCTGATGGTGAGCATATATATACAGGCATAGCTTAGTTTTCTCTATAGAGTTCAGGAACTTTCTAATAATGATAATTAAATTCACTTCATCACTTAATACTAATTGCATGGATGTGTGTGTTAAGTGACCTTGAGAATACATTGTCATACTAGTAATACCTCTGGCACTACACATGGAAATAACTGATCAGTTTATTCTTTTGTAACAATAACTGCCTCTTATTCAAAATTTTTTAAATAGTTTAAGTAAAAAATTAGTGGTGCTAAGAATAGTTCAAGCTTTAACATTGCAGATTTAGATTTAGATTTTCCTTTTGGTTTTGTTGTTTGGTGAGTCTTCTAATTTTTATAGAATCACCATGTCTAAAATTCCAGTTCCTGGCTTCTTTCAATTGGCAACTTTCCATTTCTGTTCATAGCTCAGCTTTGTCTCTTCATGCTTTCTGCTGCATCTGGCAAAGGCTCCTTGTAAATCTTCCATTAACTTTATCAGCTTTAGGAAGTGAACCAGGGTCCTCAACAGATGATAAACTGCTTAGGTGAACTATACCCATTCTTTAATTGAGAAATAGGCTGAGAAAGTTGGGGCTGTTCTGCCTGGAGAAAGCTGCGTGGAGACCTCATAGCAGCCTTCCAGTATCTGAAGTGGGGCTATAAGAAGTCTGGGGATGGACCCTTCATTAGGGACTGTAGTCACAGAACAGGGGGTAATGGGTTAAAACTTAAACAGGGGAAGTTTAAATTGGATATAAGGAAGACGTTCTTTACTGTTAGGGTGGAGAGGCACTGGAATGTGTTGCCAAGGGAGGTTGTGAATGCTCCATCCCTGGCGGTGTTCAAGGCCAGGTTGGACAGAGCCTTGGGTGGCATGGTTTAGTGCGAGGTGGCCCTGCCCTTGGCAGGGGGCTTGGAACTTGATGATCTTAAGGTCCTTTCCAACCCTAACTATTCTATGATTCTGTGATTCTATAACCACCATATTTGGTAACTCTTCTTTCTAGTCTGGTGTGATATGCATGAATTCTTTAACCACTTTGAGGTTTATGTTTAATATAGAGGCAAAAAGTATCTGAAGATGACAATCAACCTTTGCATTCAGGACGAAACTTGTATTTTGATACAGTTACATATGAACAGTCTTTAGTTTCTGGCGGGATTCAAACTTTACAAAAACAATTGTAAATTCAGCATCTTGAAAAGCACACATATGGAAGTAAGGTAAAATGTGTAGTATGTTAGCTATTGAAAACTAACAATGCACCTGCTAATTGTAACCTTATTTGACAAAATAATTGCCTTCTGCATTCGACTTACTGAAGCTTTACTGTTTAAAAACCCTATTTATTCTGTTACACCGTTCATGCGCAGAGATTCCAGATGCTGTCATCTGAGAAGGAATAGGTGAATACGATTGTTCATTAATAATAACATGATTCATTGAGAGTAAAACAATAATTAAGGGGTTTATAGCTAAATGACTGAAGAAATAAAGTACAAGATAATTTTAGCATATTAATAATTTGCATTGAATATGACAAGGATAAAATCAATGGAAAACAGTATGTGTAAAACAATAAAAATGAGACAGTGAACATAAGAACATCTTGGATGTATTTAAGTCCTAAATAAGGCTGCTTAATATTTATACCAGATTTTTAATATCCTTACCTAAAAGCAAAGATACCTTTTTTCCCTACTGTTAATCTCCATACATGGTGGAAACTCCCACCGTGGTTGTGTGTTTTGCTCCCTTTCCCCTGCCAAAAAAATTAGCAAAACTTGGGGGTTACGTATTCCTTGAGTCAGTATGTGGGTCTGATTTGCCTACTAGAAGGACTGGTTCTAACGTCAGTCACTATCAGCTTCGGTGCACACTTGCTGGCTGCATGCTAGTAAACCTCAGCATATAGAGCTGTAAGGTTGGCTTTCATAAGGACATGTCCTGAAGGTGCAGGAACAACTAACATTCACTCTCCTATTTTTCACCTCTGTTTTCTGAAATCCTTTGTTCTCTCTCCCAGAGTTATGGTGATCAAACACTTACCATCACCTTGTCATCATCTTTTCCTCTCTTTTTCCACAAGATCTCTCTCTTCCTGCTTGTTTGTAGATACCATCTTTTGATTCTTTTCTAGATTGAAAAGAGTAAAAACAGTTCTTAATACAGTTATTTCATTTACTCTTTTTTGCTTTGTTCAGTGAGGATTGGTTGACTGCCTTATTTCTCATGTTCTTGCTTTCTATAAGGGAAGAACTGTAGCAAGTATTTAGGTTGATGACCAAATTTATTAAAATCAAAGTTATTTTTATTACTGGCCTCAGTGTAGTCAGGTAACTGTGTTAACCCCTGCTCTGGGGACTGTGCTGATAGTTCCCTGTGTAAGAGGAAAGAAGCTCTTATTTTTCAAAGAGAAGATTGTTGAGTATCATCTGCTGCTAGTGTGGAATCTGAATAGTTTGTCCTATGCTGACAGGTTTCTGAACTGCTTACAATCATTTTATCAAATCAGTTAAATTGGTTAATTCTTGTATGTGCCAGAGCAATGGTCAGTAATAGTACACAAAGGATAAAATGTTCAGCAATATTAGATAGAAGCACCTACATTAAAAAAAATGCTTGATGATGAAAAGATCTTGGGATTGTTAGCAGCAGTGTTGACGTAAGTGTTAATATGAATGTAGAGGAATGGATTACTTCCAATTACCTAATTCTCTTTCATGAAGTTCAGAATATTTGTATATGTTTCATTCCAGAGTAATTTTTTTTGTGTTAAAAAGTAAATTTTTACTGCCTCTTCCTTTGCTTATGAAAAGGAGAAACATTAATATCTCTTTATATTGTTGTACAGACCACTTTCTGACTCTGAACAGATCAACTATTTAAAGAAAGCAAGACTATATATTCAGCAGCAGAAGTACGATGAAGCGGTAAGTCTGCTTTAGCTATATGCTTTCTTACAGGAATTTCTATTATATATAAATATTTAGATTTGTTTAACTTCAAACTGGGGAATAAAACCTTTTTTCCTTCCTTATGATGTACATCTCATTAACATAAATAAAATCCCACTGTAAATCTCCAAAATTTTGCTTTTTGACATCAGTTATAATGAATAATACTGGCTGTATTTCTTCTCATACTTATTAAATTGTTTGTTACCATTCCATAGTATACTAACCCACAGTATATGTTTTTATTTCCCGCTGTAGAAAAGGGTGAATTGAGAGAGTAACTGAGGAATGTAGTTTATGTTCACACTTATACATATATAAAGGAAATAATCTTATATAAAGGAAATAAAGTATAATGTCTTGCTTCATTGTAGATCCTGCTTTGTTTTCTTCTTTTACTTGAACCAGCTGTTCTTGTTTTTAGTTTCACATTTCAGTTTATCAGAGACTGGGAGCCATATGTGGAGTCAATCTGTGCTTCTCACTTCCGGTATTACTTCCCTAAGCATTTGCTACCACTCACTGTGGAACAGGATATTTCATGGGTACAATTCACCAGTGCTTGCATTCTCGCATTCACAGAAATAATTTGTAGAAGTAGATGATACAAAGAAGTCTTTAATTTTAACAAGTTTAGTTTGGTCACTGACTTTTGTGTTAAAAAGTACATGAAAAAGTTGAGTATGCAATATTACATTTAACCTTCCATATGCATAGAAGAATAACTCCATTATGTGTTAGGGTTCAGCTCTTCTTTTTCCTAATATGCTTCTTGGGGTAATAAATTACCGTTTTATGCACAGAACAGAAAAATCTGTTTTATAACTTGTCCCTTTTTATTTACCGTATTGTAAACGGGAAATAGCTCAGTTTAAATCAGTGGATCTATTTTGCTGTGGAAGCAGGTTTTCTTTTTGGTTTCCTAATACTACTACTTGCCTTGAACACGTTTACTTGTAGGAGACGTTTTATACATTTCAGCTGTAGAACCTGTGAGTTTGTGTTGTTGGCTATGTATAAATCTTATCCCTTATTCACTTGAGTGCCCCATGTGTTCAGCTTCACTCTTCATCACTAACACACTAGGCTTTTGCCTGTGCCCAGGTTGTCCTCAGCTTCCTACAGTACGATGCAGAAAGGTTGGTGCATTACCAGCTGCTGGGGTTTAGATGATTCTTTGCCTCCTCTACCCCGCAGCTCTTTGCACTGCAGATATGCATTCATAATTGCATCCTCAGGAATGATTTGATTTTGGGTGAGTTTGACTATTGGCAGACTTAAAATCTCTTCAGGAGTTGACATACCTTTTTCTGTTGATTGTTGCTGTTAAGTCAACCTGGACATGTAAAGAAGCACCCTCATGTATCTCATCTTCTTATTGCAATCTTCCTGACGGATCTTTTAATCACAGAGAATCCTCTGTGACCACAAATTACACAGCTGAGCTTCCCATCTTTGAGTAAATCACAGGAGTCAGTACACTTTTGTGTAACAAATGGCATGGTGAGGGGAAAAAACACTGTCTTTATCATGGTGTCTCCCAAGTGGAAGGCACTGAGTAAGGTGACCTGTGATTAGACTGGGTATAACCCTTCTTGTGTCCAAGTGATCTGTGTCCTGAGAGCCCCAAGAAGCTGCTTTGTGAATGAAATTGAGGTTCCAGTTGTCTCTCTGAATTCACCTTTGCTGCTTAGGCAAAGCACTGGGTATATCAGGTACTACTGAAGTGGAGGACATCAGACCCTAGCTAGGGGCTATTTCAGGCTGTGGAGAGTGACCAATTTTTGGCTGTATCCATAATCCTCCTTCTATGTAAGTGTTGTGCCTTCAGAAGCACACGATGTTTTTTTTTTTTTGTGGGGTTACTTATACTGGAATATATATGGTTGAATATTAATGGAGAAAAAAAGCAGCATGCTTGGTAGTAGGTGGTATTCAAGATGCACTGTCTCTGTGGCTTTCACCTGTTGTGGCCAAGGGTGATGGTGAAGGAGCCAAATAATGGTTGACTTTATGTCCAAAGCAGTGTGTACTCCAGCAGTTTGTGCTTGCCAAAACACTACACCTCAGCGTGGAGAGAACACATATGCCAAGAGTAATGGAGGTTCTTGAGCTCCAGCTGTGCTCAGTTACACTGATTTGTAAAATGGAAATTACTCTAAACCGTTGCTTCTATGTTTTATCTGCCTTAGATATCTCTGTGCAAAACGCTGATTAACCTTGCTTTGGAAGGCTTGTCTTATTACCATACTTACGACAGATTATTCCTGGGTTTAAGTATTGCAATGAGTTTTGTGGGCTGGACGACTTACGTGATTTTGGTGATTATCAAGACCCATACTAATTTGACCAAGGCTGTCCAGACTAATAATAAGGTAGGTTGGAAACATGCAGTGATTTTTTTCTAACAGTTTTCAGCATTAAATGTATGCTCAGTCTCTCTTCTTTTGATTACATGTAGAAGCTGGCAAACTGTAGAATTTTCTAGTTCCCGTAATCCTCTATAGTGTTACCATTTGGCTACAAACATTTGTTTGGTCCATTTATTAGGATCCATATTCCTAAACTGTGTAAGAGTGAGTATGCAGTACTATGCTTTCTTGGTTTCTTCCTTCTTACAGCTGTGCATTTTACTAGAAACTAATGCAAGTGTAAGCAAACATACTGATTTAAAACTCTTAAGAGAGTCTGTCTTTAACCAGAAACCAGTTTTCTGTGTTAATTGTAGCAAAGTCAGCAGTCTGTTGTAATAATACTTGTTTGCAAGTACCCAGACTTCAGGCTTCCGTTTTGATTTTTGTTCTTGGCTGTGGGGATAACAAAAAAATAGCATGTAAATTATTTTATTCCTGTTCTCTCTGGCAATGTGAAATCAGTTTTCAGAAGCTGTGCAGTCCAATCATGGCATTTTTAAAATGTAACACCTGTTTCAATAGAAAGGTGAGCCATGGTTTCACAGGTGGGCTAGCTCTGTGATTTGCAAGGGTGCAACAGAAGACATCAAAGATGAAGGAAGCTTTTTGGCAATATTATTATTGTTTGATTTTTGACAAAGTACAAAATTCTACATATATACTTTCAGCCATTCATCAGGAACAGAAATATGTTGAAAAAGTGAATAAACAAAGAGCTACCATTTCAGTAGGGAAAGATTAAAGCCTTGGTGTGGGGGAGGGTATGCCAAACTCAAGAATTTGCTTCAAAATAAAGGGGGTTGTTTCATTTGGTAATGTAACTGAGAATGAGCACTCACGTAGCATCTTTACTGCCTTCAGTATACTACTCTGAGAAAATCCCTATCATGCTATCTTGAGGTTTTTACTACTGGTTGAAATGAGATAGTCTTAGCCTTTAATGAAAGTGATCAAGGAAAATTGAAATGGGAAATATTCATAAGTGCTGTAATGCATATTTTTCTTTCATCAAATCACTGAGAAGAAATAATTCAAGATTCATGTTATGTCAGATATGAGCAAAATAATTACAGTAAACAGAGTGAGTATCAGGCATAGTAGTAACTGCATTAAGCAGAAACTTCACATTTTTAGTTGACATCAGATTGTAATTTGGTATATTGATTTTACTTGTTGAAGGCAAATTTTATACTAGTGACAGTGGGAGAAAAAACCAGGTTTCTTAGTTCTTTGTTTATATAATTTTTCTTCATTCAGTTTTAATAAGAGGTCTTTTTCTGTAGAAACCTTTTTAGTGTTCCTAAATACTTACGGAATCACAGTGTGAAGCTAATCCTTCATATATGGACGTTATTTCATTTATAGCTAATATTGGAGCTACTTAAAGAATTTTGCTGAGAAACTAATCTACCATTGACAAATAGTCTTCTACAAAGCACTGCCTTATAAGATCTGAAAGGAGCCTCTGAATAATGAAACTGCACATCCTGTACATATAATCTTCAGAAGTTTTTGGTTTCTTATGAAGCATATGAAAGAACTTTTGCTTTTAGAGCAGTGTGTTGTTTTGCTTAGCAGAAGCCTAACCTTTTAATCTATTTTTTAAACGTCCTAGGAAATGCAAGTCTGATTTCCATTTTCAATGCATGACCAACTATATTGAACTCTATAGCGTTTATATCTCTATATGACATAAAATGTTGATTGTATGTGTTTAATTATTTGATGATAAATCACATTGTGTGCCTATCATTCCTATATATTCATTCTGTCTATATGTCAGCAAATGTAAGATTTAAAACTATGAAACTAAAATTGCATTAGGTCAGCTTTCTACATATTTTTTTCTTTCTTTAATGGCAGATCTTATTAGAAATTCTATTTAAAAAATCATTTAGAACTTGCATTTAGTGTTAGTTTAGATCAAGGCAGTTGTAAGTCACTTAACAGGGAGGCAGGAAAAGTTAACCCATATATATGAACCGCTAACTGAATATCTTTTCTCCTCAGCATATTTAACATAGTCATGTATTTGTCTACATAACTCATTCAAAGAAACTGACATTCATGTAGAAGAAAAGTATCATCAGTCATTACCTAGACTATATACTAAAGACTGCTCAGTCATTAAAGCTGCCTTTGCTATGTCAGGTTGCCTTACAGGAAGATAAAATTGTTTATTTAAAACATAATCTTCCCTTGCCAGTAATTCTTGTGGTATCTGAATGTTCCTAAATAAGGAAGACTAGTTCAGTGACCAGGTAAAATGTAGATTCACAGTGACTGTTTAATGCTCCTTTTTGCATGAACAAGAGATTACTGCTACCTGATGATTAAGGACTAACTTACCTGACTGAGATTATCCATTTTTAAAATTTCCTTTCTCTTTGATGTTCCTCCTTACAGCTCTGTTAGTCCAAGAACATGTTTCTTTGAGTACATTTTGTGTTTAATTCTTTTATTTATTTTTAGAAAGCACAAACCTGGTGATGTAGTATATATAGGATTAAGTGTATTGACAGTTCTAGCTATGACAGGAATCTTTTAGTACTATGTGACTCTAGTTGTCTGTTGTATCTTGAAATGGCAGATTCTTTTGAGTAAGGCTGTCTTTCCTGTGGAAGGTTGGTTGCAAGCCTCCTTCAGTAGCTGTCACTAGATCCTGAAGAGTTGGTATTTTACAGTAGGAGTTAATGCCTTATATTTTAATTTAATTACTTTCTTTCAAATGTCTCAGTCAGGAGGAGGAAACATGTGCTAATGGAATTTTCATTAAATGTTTTGACCTTAATGCTACAAACTTGAACTCAAAAGGTTATGTGCTAAGTGAAGTCTAGTTTTTTAATCCAAATTTAAAAGAGTTCTTTTTTCCGAGACCCTTAGCATCTCAGACTTCCAATGGATTTTATGTATTCATTGAACATAATACTGCATACAGTGGGCTTCCAAACTGTACAAGTGTGCTTTGCCTGTGCAGATTTTACTGCAGGACCTTATGCAGGGAGATATTTAGAATTAAATCTTCAAATCCAGTGGTTGGTTTGCCTTTTGTTTTGTTTTGTTTTTTATCTGCCTGGAAACAGTGTCCAAAGTTGTGCACAGAGACATAAGGCAGCTGAGTGACTGTGTAAAGTAACATTTGCTTACTGTGTAACTAACAAATGGAAAACAGTGTTGAGTTTAAAACATTTTATTGATGTCTCAGGAATGTTTGTCCAACATTTGTTTTATAGGAATCTACTGTTCTCCTCTACGGTTTTGCCTTTGTTGGAGTGATGATAGCTTTTTTCCTGTTGATTCAAACATGTCCTTGGACATACTACATATACTGTCTCTTGCCAGTACCAGTGTGGTATGCAGTTGTGAAAGAGTGAGTAAAGAATACATTTTACAAAGAATGCTTTATAAAACTGGGTCTGTGTTTCCTGTTTGTTGACAAATATTTTTTTTGCCATAGATTTGGGAAAAAAGGTTAAATATAAATTTATTAAACTGCCTGAAATGTTCCTGAGACATCCTAAAGGACTGTGGTTTATATTTCTCTTGACATATAGGGTGGTTTCCAAACTGACTGATATAGCTGCCAATTCTAGAAGATATTTCCTATTAGCAAAAAAAAAGTAATGTCTTTCCAAGACAAAATGGTTTTAGTACTCTTGTAACTGTAACAAAAGGGTGCTAAATCCTTGGGCAAATACCTGTAGCAGCTGACTTCCTTTGTAAAATGTGACAGGCTGTTTTTTCCAGTAATTTTGGAATGGTCTGATCCTGAAAAGTGTCAAGTGTGCTGAACTCCATCTGCTTTTGGAGAAGATGTACTAGTCCTGTTGAAGACTGTGCTCTGATATTAAAACAAACTTGTCTTGTCTGGGTCTGCTTTAGCTCTAAATCCAAAAATACTTATTATATTATGATTTCTATTACCTAATATCCTGGCAATTCTGTAGATACTAACTCAGTATTATTCAGAGAAAATAAGACCAGCTGCAGTTAGATAATGAGCTGCTTCCTAAAACACTGGAAAAGCTAACTGGGGATTTTTTTCCACTCTCTAAAGCTTCTGAATGTTTCATCAGTTATGATGGACATTAAGCACAGCATAACTAAAACTGTTCATAAAGTCAGAGTTGATTTAGGTGTCTGAAGCTTGTCCAAATACGGGTGAAGATGAGCCGGAAATGGGAGGGGAAAAAGCTGGAGAGTTTTATTGTGGATCCTATATCAAGTAAAACTGGGCAGAACGAGCCTCAGGCCATCACCCACTCTGTTTCTAAATCAGCAATATCTGAAATGTTTTTTGGGCTCTGACTCCTTTCCTTTCCCTTGAAAGATAAAATCCTTTGATCTTTCTGGTTTTTTTTAATAATTATCTTGTTCCATCATTTTGAACAGACTTCCTGTTATTCAAGACCTTGCCACAAATCTCTTGTCACATAATATGGTTCAGTCTGTAGGATTCATCTTCATTTGTATACTGGGAATTGAAATACTAGTAAGTATTTTATCCATCTGTATCAACAGGTTATCTCACAGCTAGCATTCTACCTCTTTGAGGAATGGTAAGTTTTATTAATGTGCTTGGTTTTCAGTCTTCTGTTGGATTTTCTTTTCTTTTTAATTAGGTCTTCAGCTTTTTCTACCGCTCTACACTTACTCTTGGTCTTCTTGTCTTTGCTGGCTGGCCAGTGGTCACACAACTGTGGGCTCAAGCAAAGGTACTGTGTTGCTTGGCTTCGAAAGAACATTTTAAATGGCTAATAGTTGATTACATCTCAGGATACTGGAACTGGTCTCTTTGGAATGCTGCTTTAGGTTTTTGTTCAGTTATGCTTTTATTCTGATCTCCATCATGAGCAGCATGTAGCAAGGCAGAGGAGTTCAGTATGGTCTGGATAGATCTCTTATACAATATAAGTAAATAAGACTGCTTAAGAATTTTGCAGTAGCTATGAGTTAGCTATCAGTTTTCTGTTGTTAATGATAACTAAAAAGTGCTTGACTGAATGGTATGAAATGCACATCACTTACCAAATTGTCACAGTAACAAAAGAGTTGACATGCACGATTGGTAAAGTGCCACCCTTTGAGTAATATGGTCATTTATTGGAAAAAAAAAACAAAAAACAAAACACCAAAACAAAAGAAAGAGAAGATAACTGAAAAATGCTTTTCAATTTGTTACTGTCTGCAATCAGCTGGCACACATTGTTCCTCCAAGGCAGCTTTCTGTACCATTTTTCTCAGGAAAAAAAACTCCACTTCTGTAGATATGGGTGTGAAGTAAATCATCGTTTAATATAAGAGACATTTCTTCTGTTAGTTTATTCAAACATCTCTTATTTCACAGAATATCTAAAACCTAGGGTTCTGGAGTAACATTAGCATTTTAATTAAAGCAACAGAAAAACTGGAATTGAATTGCTAAGTCCTACTCTGCAAGAGCTATCAGGAATGGAAGCTTGTATTTGTTTATTTACATTTTTTTTATTGTATTTGAGTAATTAAAGCTGGCTATACAGAGAAGATGTTTTGTAGTGCTGAAAATTTCCTTTGGGGAATTTAAATCTGCCTTGAGCTTGATTCTGCCTATAGCTTTTAATGTTTTTATTTGGAGTCAAATACCTGGGATTGGGTTGGGTTTTTTTCCTCCTAGCAAAGAATGTAGATAACTACTTAGATGATTGTGGTAGTTAAATCAAATGGAATTCAGATTCAAAGACTGGAAAATGTGTCCATATTGCCAGAGAATAGGTGATTGGTGAGCTGCTACAGACTTCTGGTGAGATTAGTTTTATTCCTCTCTTCCGTAAGGTTACTCATCAGCTTTCTAGTGACTGCAATGTGTGTGAATGCCACACTCGGAGAAAGTGCTTTTAAGTGTAATCTTAGCTTTGATTCTCATTGTCTTTGATAGGATTTTGACAGCCGTGTAAATGAAATTCTTTTCTAAATGAAATTGAAGTATTGTAACACCAATGATCCTGTACTCTATTTTCAGTTAAGTTTACTCTTGATGGGGGGGGCGGGGGTGGGCATTCTTTGGGAGGTGCTAGTAGCCATTAGTAGTTCGCTGAGGTATTTTTTTGTGATTAGACAATTGTCCACATGACCTCCAAAATAATCCTTTTATGTATTTATTTCCTTTAGACAAGCTCATCAATCTGGACTTTTCTGTGTGTGCTCCTGGCAATATTTCCTTTAATGCCTGTTGTAGGAAGAGAATCAAACATTCCTCTGGTGTAAGACTCTCATTTAGTTCTTTAAACTTTTTATTTCTCTCTTTGATATTCATAATTTAGGCTGCTTTTTGAGATATGTGAGGAATTGTATTATTGAGAGCTGGCTGAGACAGGTATTGAAATTCAGAATTTAAATGATTATAGAAAATATGATTATAGAGACCTCAGTTACTCACTGATGTGAATGAGAATAAGCTTTTAATTCTTTTGCCTCATCTATTTGCTCTTTACATTATTCTGTAGTTTCTTGGCAAGGGAAACATTTCTCAGAATACAAAAATATGCAAACTTTACATAAAAATAAAGGTCATCATTAAAGAAGGAGCTTCACTGGGGTACAAATGTGGTAAATAGTACTGGCACGTAAGAATATTTCTTCAAAAGCAGTTTACTCTGACAGCATCTTTCTGAATTCCTCCATCTAATTTTGAATAATCTGTCTTTGAATAGCACTCTGTGCCTAATGAGATAATTGAGGAAATAGAATAAATAGGATAGGCAAAGCTCTCTTCCTCGCTGACTCCTTTGTCTATTCTTTTTCCACCTTCACTTATTCTCTGTTCTACGTTTTCCTTTCTGGTGTTGCTTGTCTGATTTTCTACAGTTGTTGATTTGCATCTTTTTTTGCATCTAGTGCATTTTTGTCATCTGTTCCTCTCCTCTTCCTCTTCCATCATACCAGCATTCTCTCGTATCTGGATACAGTCCAGGTGGTTGGCCTGAGGGCATTAGGCTTGTGGTGTTATTAGAAAGACTTGAATTGACCTACACTGCAATGGTTCCTTCTGCTGTCTGGCAGAAGATACTGTTCCCCATCAGAGCAGGGTGCCTGATCCTCAGTAAAATATGGGATTGGAGCATTAATGTATGATTGCAGATAGAATTATGAGCCCAGATATTTCCAGAATTATTGACATTCTGCCTTTATATTTTTCATTGTGACTTAAATGTATCTATTGAAAACTCTTAATCTTGATGCTTGGGCATGTTAGAAATACTCAGGACAGATACTCTTTGGCTGTGTTACAACCTCTCAGCTGTATATACATTTATGTATTTCTACTGATCCAAACTGGGGGGTTTTATTCTTTAAAACTTTTGAGCACAGCTTAGAAATCAAAATGGAATTAAATTACCTTTAGGTCTTCTTCCCTGACGCTTCTTTACATTCACCTTACCCAGGCAGTACATCTTCCTGTTTAATCTTCTAATGAAACATTGTACCTCTGAAACGGTTTATGCCTGTCTGAATCCTCTCAAGTGAGTTTTGAAGCTGAAAAAGCTTGAAGCAACAATTAAAAATATATGTATGTGTGGCACCTCAGGATACTGAAGATAAGGAGATGCTGGGAGAAAAGATATGGGAGGGAGAAATTAGAGTGTCAGAGTGCATTTATTAGATCTATTTTTGAGCAGCGACTATACACTGGGAACAGGGCTTCTTGAGTACATTAATAAAACTTGTATGGTACAAACAGGGAGCTCCTAACTCAGACATAAAAAGGAAGCATACAGGAGGTGAAAGCAGCGTCAGGTGGTCCAGGAGGAGCATAGATATGCTGTCTGAATATGCAGGATAGGTTAGGAAAACCAAAGCTTTCCTGAAGTTGAATCTGGTGTGGGATGTACAGTGCAACAAGACAGTATACAGCAGCAAAAGGAAGACTAAGAAAAATGTGTCCCTGCGGCTGTTTGGGATGGAGACCTGGAGGTAAAAGGACATTGAAGTCTGAGGCCTTCTTTACCTCCTTTCCTGGTAAGACTGGCCATCAGGAACCCAGGCTTCAGTCTGCTGAGACCCGTTTGAAAGTCTGGGACAAGGACTAGAAAGTGCCTCTTGCAGGAAAGTCCAGTGGTATCCTTGGCATCACCAGGATGGTGAGCAGAAGGAAGGTGATTATTTGTCCTTACTCAACCCTGCCAAGACTCATCTGAAATTGCTGCATCCAGTCCTGGGCCCTCTGGAAAGAGTGATGTGGATATACTAGGCCTGGTCCAGAGAATAGTCATTAAGATCATAGAATCATAGAATAGTTAAGGTTGGAAAGGACCTTAAGATCATCAAGTTCCAACCCCCCTGCCATGGGCAGGGACACCTCGCACTAAACCATATCACCCAAGGCCTCGTCCAGCCTAGCCTTGAACACTGCCAGGGATGGAGCATTCACAGCCTCCCTGGGCAACCCATTCCAGTGCCTTAGCACCCTAACAAGAAAGAATTTCTTCCTTATATCCAATCTAAACTTCCCCTGTTTAAGTTTTAACCCATTACCCCTTGTCCTATCACTACAGTCACAGATGAAGAGTCCCTCCCCAGCATCCCTATAGCCCCCCTTCAGATACTGGAAGGCTGCTATGAGGTCTCCACGCAGCCTTCTCCAGGCTGAACAGCCCCAACTTTCTCAGCCTATCTTCATATGGGAGGTGCTCCAGTCCCCTGATCATCCTCGTGGCCCTCCTCTGGACTTGTTCCAACAGTTCCGTGTCCTTTTTATGTTGAGGACACCAGAACTGCACACAATACTCCAAGTGAGGTCTCACGAGAGCAATGTAAAGGGGCAGGATCACCTCCTTCGACCTGCTGGTCATGCTCCTTTTGATGCAGCCCAGCATACAGTTGGCTTTCTGATGAATAAGTGATTAGAGAATCTGTCAGAGGAGAGTGAGCAAGAGCTGGGGCTGCTTATCCTGGAGGAGAGATGAGAGAGCTGGAACTGGTTATTCTGGAGAAGACTCAGAAAGATCTTATCAATGTATATAAATACCTGTCTGGGGGAGAATAGTAAAGATGACAGATTTTCCTTGGTGTCTAGTGAAGAGACAGGAAATGGGCAAAAATTTAAATGCAGGAAATTCCATTTAAATGTACAAACAAACACACTTATTTTACACTGAGGAGGGTCAACCACTGGAACAGGTTCCCTAGACAGGTTGTGGAGTCTCCCTCAGTGGAAGTATTCAACACCTACCTAGGTATGGCCCTGAGCAGCCAAAGCCCTACTCACTGCTTTGAGTAGGGGATTGGACTGGCCTGATCTCCAGGGATACCTTCCAACCTTCAGCCTGTGAGTAGCCTGCAACTATGTTCCTCTATTATTAGATCATTACTTGGAAACTGCTATGGAGATATATATGCCTGTGTGGCCTGATTTTACTGAATGTGAGGTATTTCTACATAACTATGTATTTGTTAGTTGTTGTGGTATAAATACCCTGATAGATGGTTGGACAAAACTTGAAGACCTAACTTTAGATCACCAATCACTGTTACTGTTTTGTTCAAAATATTATTTTTAGGTAATCAAAAGTACTTAAAAATAACAGGTGACAGTAGTCACAAGGCCAAAATGGAAGGTTTCTTTTGCCACTGCCATGAAAAAAAAGAATAATTGTATTTGTGGATGGCAAGCTTGTATTAAAAAAAATCCCATAATGCCAAACCCAAACACACCCAACCCCACCCAAAAAAACCCTCAAGCTGACCACTACATTAAAAAAATAAACTCAAACCAACCAAACCACACCTGATTCTGGGTTGGATTTGTTTTTCTAAAGCTGGATGTTGATGTTTCCTTAATGTATTAAGTCTTGATACTGTAATGAATTATTTGATCTTAGTGAAGAGCACTTCTATAAAAGTTTCTTGAATGTTTTGATGATGCTTCCTGGGATTTTATTGTTCTTTTGTTTTTACAGAATAGCAGCTGGTTTGCTGACTCTCCTGATCTCTTGCTTCTCACTGGCATCTCTTTGTAAAAACAAAAATAAATACAGAAATAATCAAGATCTGAAAGTGTATTTTTATCAGGTCAGTTGCTATTTTCCAGTAATTCTCAATGTTGAAGGGTTTTTGTTTGCAAATATTTACATACTTTTCTAAGAATGTGTTCTTACCAAGGCCATCCGTTTGAAGAAGGAAATGGTTGTCCCTTAGAATTTTCCCCTTGACCATTTTAAGAGGACCGTGTGCTCATGGTAATATGCATGTTTAAATATCATAATGCTGCGTACTCAAAGCTCATCTTGTGCATATTTGTGTATATTGATAGAGTGATGTGCTTACACACCTGATGCTCTACTGAGAGAGTTTAAGAGTTTGTCCTGCCAGCAGTCTGTGTATGTAACTTCCAGTGACCTTTGTGGGAATTGCACATGAACACTAAGGACAGGCTTGCTGGTTCAGGGCATTCTTTCCTGTTTCTAGCTGTTGAGTAACAATGTGAGACTAATACTGAGCTGACTTTCTGTTGGCTAAATCTTGTTTCAGATGAAAGATTAGTGGTTTTTATTCTCTATAGCTTCATGAAATAGGTAGATCTTTTAGGTAGATCTTTTCATAGTAAGTGCTAATTAAGTTCTAGAGAGCTTTTAAGATTTTAATAATACCTTGCATGTCTGCTGTCCTTTTTTTTTTTTTTTTTTGCTTCTTAGAAGATAATGGTTTTATCTCAGGACCAGCTTTATTAGCTATAACTTATTATGTGCTGGAGTTTCTTACTGAGCTAAGCAATGCATTCATTACACCGGTAGTATAGGTATGGAGCTCAAATTGGTTATTTTCATAATTGGAGCTCAAAAGAAGGAGGGAAAAGAATGATGAATGGCTAAAATACATACCTGTATGGACCTGAGAGGTCATTTATAGGCTACTCATTTATTCACTGTTTTTTTGTAGCTACATACTATGAATTTCCAGCATGGGTATTAGCCTTAAAGAAACAAAAAAGTCCCAGAGAACCAAACAGCACAATCAAAAAGATATTTTAGCAAAAGTGTACAAATAAAGAAGCGTTAGAAAGTACAAATATAAGCCTGAGTAACTTAATATGGATATGTTTGCATTACTGTTACAAAAAAATGTTATGTTTAGACCTAATTTTGAAGTTTTGATACATGTCAGTGTTTGCTTGAGGCAGAAGAATCTAATTGTACCCTCACAGTTTCAGAAAATTGCCAACAGTTTCTCAGGTTTTCTCTTGATATCACTAAAGCAGGAATGGAGGATTGTCTTTTGATTAACACTACTCCTCTCTTCCAGTGAGGTGGGGATAGTTTTCTTTTCCCAAGTAACAAGTGACAGGACAAGAGGAAACAGTCTCACGACAAACCAGGGCAGGGTTAGATTGGGTATTAGGAAGTAATTCTTGTCCAAAAGGGTTGCCCAGCATTGGAACAGGCTGCCCAGGGAAGCAGTGGAGTTACCATCCCTGGAGCTATTTAAAAGATGCGTAGGCATGATGTTTAGGGACATGGTTTAGTGGTGGACTTTGATGGACTTGGCAGAGTTAACAGTTGGACTTGGTGACCGTAAAGGCCTTTTGCAACCTAAACGATCCTATGATGTTTGAGAAGTCATTAAGGCCTCTGGAACGGTGAAAAGAAGAGTTATTTATAATCCATCAGGTAGACTGCTGTGGTGCTTACTGTACAACTTAGTATTTTTTTGCTGCAGAGAACATCAACTTCTCTTTGCCAGCAGTTTCACAGGTGAAGTCCAGTTTTTGCTGCACTACTGAAAACACTGCTGGTTCTGTTGTTTGGTAATGTTGGGCCAAGTTGTTATTCCTGGGAGGCTTGAACTTCATGTGGGTCCAAGGGTCAGTTTATTAATTTTCTCCTCTAAATTAGGAGAAATGAGCAGTAGGGATCCGTGTTGTATCGGTGGAACTAGGGGACAGGAGGAGTGTTTTCAACAAGCCTTGTACAGCATCCAGCTGATGATGATGGTTCTCCTACCATTCTCTCTACGAGTTATCATGTTAGTTGCTTAGGAGACCTTCTGGCAAAGACGTGTTGAACTGCAGATGTCACCCTTGGTTTCCTCTTTCTAGCTGTAACCTACAGATGAGTGTTTCTCAGAGGCCTGCTCTTAAACTGTGCAAAAATAATCTCTTCATTGTGGAGAAGGTTGTGGAAGAGGAAAGGCATATTTTTAGCAGGAGACCTCATTTTGCATCTCCATGTACCTTCTGTGTCATTCTAGTTCTGATATTGGTGAAAGTAGAGAGCAATTTGAACATTACTTAAACTGTGAAAACGGGAGTCTCAAAAGTGGGTGCTGATCCCTTCCCTAGACACTGACATAGATCTAGCAGCACTGAATTTGGTTTACTAATGTGGCCAGGTCATCACAAGTCTTTCAAGGCACAAGATGCATTATGGGAGATGACACAAAGTGAGTGCAAAGTGACTTCACCAGTGACTAGGGAATAGCAGAGGGATTACCAGAGCTCATGATGCTAAAAGTTGAAAAAGTACATCAAAGGGGAAACATCTGGCCTAAAAACAGCAAAAGCATCCCAAATGAACATCAGAGGTCTAAAGGGGATGATTCCCTGAGCTTTTGGAGGCTTAGTGCTTTGACCTAGCTTCTTGATGTCACACAGAAATACAGGTTACATGTTATTGTGGCCTGAAATTAAATAGAAGCAACAGATACAAAGCACCTGTGAAACCAGAACAAAAAAGGATGCTGACTGCTAAGTGTATCCTCTGAGCAGGTACCACTGAGTATCACTGTGTCTGTCAGGGGAATAGCAGCAATTCATGTGGTAAAAAGTGATGAATGTGAAGACTGTGTATGTGCTTTGCACTAAAAAAAGCCACAACAGCAATTATATCTTGTAATGCAATTTTAAAGTACGTGCTTGCAAAGTACTGCTTGATTTGCCTTTTGGTGGAACTGCAGAGTTATGTATAAATGGCAGTAACTGAAAACTTGGCTCAAGTATTTCCTTGGATAAGTGTAATCTTTCAGAAATAACTGACTCATGGGGTAATTTGTCTCAGGTTTTTTGCACCTACTTGGTGACTGAGTGGTATCTCTGCAATTAGTCAAGGGAAAAAGAAAAGAACAATCTTCAGCGTCACTGCTTCTACAAAGCAGGGGGCTCTGCTTGAGGTGGTGCAGACAATTTCACTTCAACAGTCTGCCAAGATTGCAGCAGCTTTTTATCTCTTAAAATCCACCTCCACTCTGCTCTGCTGCTGCTGTCTTTTCTTAGAGGAGCTGTGCTGCTGTTCTTGCCCTTCACCCTATACCCAGTGCTGCAGCAAAGCCTGCAGTTCTGCTAGTTCATGGTTGCTGTTCGAGGACAAGTGCTCCTTAAAGAACTTGGGGCATATGTTTTCTGTGGTTTACATGAGTGTTTAAGTGACAAAGAGTGTATCATGTCAAATCAGTGATCCAGGGTTCTTCTTTAGATTAGAAAATAGCACAAATTATTAATAGCAGTGATAAACTAGAAGGAAGTTTTTAAAAGCAAATTTTTTGTTAAATCTATAAATACTCAACACCACATATAAGACTTCCTGTTCTTATGTTGATTCAGATGAGGGGTTTATGCAAATCTGAAGCATATTTACATATTTGGGTTGGGATGACAGAGATCCATACATTTATTATGTGTTTCATTGTCTGATTTCTGCTTTGTAGATGTTGAGTATTGCACTTTCAACCTATGTTGTGAGCAGTACCCATGACAGTCTTAAGAACAAACAGGGATTGCCTCTATTGAATCAAATTATCAGCTGGATGACTCTAGGTAAGAATAACTTCTTTCCCAAACTTGTATCTTACTGGTTAATGGGGCTTGGGGTTGGGGGCAGTGACATTTCTTTATTGACATCTTACTTTTGCACATATTCCTTTATTTGACTCCTGATAGTTCTTCCATGTGTTCACTATTCTTTCCTAAGTAAGGTTTTTGGAGAAATATGTTAGAAAGTCTTCTAAAATTTTACTCCTTTGTAAGTTTGTAATAAAATGCAAAGAACTTTGATTTACAGGTAGCTTTGTCTTTTGAATATTCTGAGTATCTTGAAGACCCCTTTTAGTATAATGGCTTAAATTCCCTTTTTGTTTCACTTGGAGTCAGATAAGGGTGATCTGAGATGTTCTACAAGGAATCCAGTTAAGCATAAGAAAGTGAGGAAAGGTTGTTGCTCTGTTTCAATAGAAACCTGAAGTTGCAGCTGATGGCAGAGACCCTTGGGGTACGAAAGTGCTTTTTAGAGATAACTTGTAAAATACCTGTGAACTAAAGTTGCTAATGTATGTTTGATATGTTAGAACCTGATAATTAAAGAAAAAGAACAATTTACAAGTCTGTGGCGTTTTCACAACTCTAAAATTAAATTCTTAAGATGATTAAACAGTACAAATGTAATTATCACTGGAGTTATGGAATACAGTAAAGCAACACCTTTAATGTTTTAGCTATAAAACAATTTGTAATTTCTATTAGAAAATATTTAGCATTGTTTATCCCTGAGTGATCTGGAATGTGGATTTGTTTTAGAGCTAAACATACACCATGCGAAGTTTGGTAGCAGCTCTTTGCTAAAAGTCAAGACCAGGAATTGAAACATAACCTAATAGAAGAATTCTGACTCATTATCTTGTTGCTGGATGCGTTGTACTGGTGACATTGTTTTAACTTGAGCAGGTCCTGTCAGTTTTAGCAAACCTGCTTCAGTTTGAGCAAATGGATTCAAGATTAATACAAGTGATTGTGATCAGTGTCTGTATGTGAGCAATGCTCTCTTTGTAATGTAGTTTTCTTTGAAGTATTTTACTTTCCATCATGCTTTCCTAACTCTCTGTAGCCTGCTAAGCTAAGTGGGTATCTCTGTGTGGATGAATTCCTTGCAGCTGTGAAGTCAATGAAATCAATGATGTCCTGCTTGGCTTACTGGAGCAGGAATTGAGGGTAAAGGTTATCTTTCTCTTCTGTGTGAGGGTGAGAGAAAAACATTTTTCATCTGAGAGATGATTTGTGAAGTCAAGAGGCCTGAAGTTACGAGGAAAAAGTATATTAGAAATCTTCACTGTGGGTGATGTTTCTATGATAAATAAAGCTAACACTGAAGTAAACTGTATGTATCCAAAAAGTCTACTTAATGCCACAGTAGTATTGAATATTTTAATGTCTTTCAGACTGGAAGTAATTATTTTAAGTTAATAGGAAGATAGAAGCTTGCTGAAGTAGCTCTACATAATTAAACACAGAACTAAGCAGGTAAAATACTAAGGCATCCAGCAACATGTCCTTAATGCTCCTGGTGGAGGGAAATGCCGTGTCAGTACCATAGCCACAACTAGCATCTAGCTTGTCACTACTGAGTACAAGAACTGTGGCATCTTAGTAATTAAGGTACTGTAGCTCTTCCAAGGTTGGTGGCATTACAGGTGATCAAACTCCTTTTCATGTTTTTGTTTAGTTGTAGGATAGCACTGTTTCTTACTGAACTCTCATTTTGCACCTCTGTATGTATTTATATAACCAGAAACACAGAGTTATCATTATTTATTCATAATAATACTGATTGAGTGTTATTATCATGTCAGTATGATCATACAACTTCTGAAGTTACCTAGCAAATTGTTCCACTCTCCTCAGCTACTCATTTGTTTACCATGAAGCCTACCTTACTTAAAGGTTTCATTTAGGCCTAAACTTTCTTTCTGAAGAAAGACATGGAGAACAATGCAAATGAATTAGTGATGGGTGGGTTACTGCAGGCCCGTGTCCAGCTGCCTTTAGCTGTTACACCATATGGTTTTTGCAGTGTATGTTATCCACAGAGGTAAAAATGGGAGGCATAAAGTTAATCCAGCTGCTTCCTATGTTCTTCAGAACCATCTTTATGTCAGCAGATATGTCTAAATGAATGTGTATTATGTTTTAAAGGTTTCACCAGTGGAAATCTATCATAGCAATTTGCTAAATATTGAGGAATTTGTTGTAACTGCTGCGTGTGGAGGACACATACAGAGATTTGTATAGGTTAGCCAGAAACCTGCAGGTCTTCTGATGGTTGGTATCTGATGTGTCACATCAGGTGTGGAAAGGAAAGGCTAATTATCACCTACCAGCCACTCATCTGTTTTCATCTGTGATTGCACAAAGGGAGCTTATACATGTCTGTTGCATTGAGTGTCATTCACAGAGGCTGAGTTTCCTTCCAGCAGTTCTGACTTGCAGTGAGGTTCCTCCTTGAGTTGGGCCTTCTTTAAATATAGAAAGCTACAAGTGATGCTGAAAGGCTGGAGCACCCTTGAAATGAAGTCATTGATTCTGTAGCTAGTGGTGGCCAAGGCTGAAAGCCAGGAAATAAAAGACACTGACCCACAGGTTTTAGAAATAGCCTCATTTCTCTTCTGTTCACACATTTACTACATATACAAATGCATACTATGACAGTGAGCACAAGCAAGCACTTTCTGTATATTATCGTTTTGTTTCTGTTCCGTAATAGAGCAATTAATGTGACATACTGTTGATGCAGTCTTTGAATGATTCGGTAATGCGAGGCACTATACCACAGTGAAGAATCACACCAATGTTATTTTTCTGTGCACTTCATAAACACATAAAATTTAAACGTATAAAAAAACCCAAACACAAAACAAATCAGGAAAAAAAAGGGCAAAACAACCAACCCCCCAAAAAAACCCAACTGAAAACCAGGTTTAAAGATTAAATCACAGCAATGCTTTTCCTTCTTCCTTTCCTCGCTTCAAGCACTGGGCAATTTTCATCAGCCTTCTTTCTTTTTACTCACTTTTCAAGTAGCCCACTTCCTTTCTTCCCAATTTTCCTCACCACCTACAACTGTTGGGCCCCATCTTCACCTCCAGAAGTTTCCCAGCTAGAGGAGTCTCTTTAGGGACAGCATGGATTCTGCTAACCAGCTCTGAATGGTCAGCTGACCAATGGACCACACCAAGGAGTGAAATGTAGCTCTTAAGGTCCCTCACTTGCATTAGAGAAATGCATTGCAAGTTGAAGGCAAGAGGCATAAGTCATGACAGATAGATGATCCCTTGTAGTTCCTTAAATATTCTTGCTTTAAAACTTTTGAGTAAAGAGGCTGGTAAGTTGATAGTTTGTGTATCTTTACTGCCAGTATTTTCAGTTGCACCTCAAAATGTAGCAGGTTTCCTAATCTAATACAATGGAGCAGAGGCTGTGTAACCACAGTCTGTTAGCTGTCAAGAGATCCTCAGGGCAATGGCAAGTGGCTCTCAAAGTAGCATTAAACATTAGAGTTTTGACTGTTTTGTGGGGTAGTACTTCTGCATCATCTGAAGGACTTACTAACATCAGTTCATGAGAAATTATAAAGGCTGTGAGGTAGAAAGCCAGGGAATTAGAATGGTAGAGAACTAAAATTGCTTTTAATAAGTATTAAGCATTCCAACCACTGGGTTTTCTTTAGCAAAAGTGACTTCTGAAAATAGAAGGGCGTATAGGAACAGTATTGAATATCTGTATGTGAAGTGTCAAGATTTTGGAACAATGTTACATTGTTACTGAGGGTGAAATGTTTTGCATGTAGTGACTGATGCATCTTTTTTTTTCGTTTGCAGTTTCTTCCTCTGTGTTGCCATTACTGAGCTCCACATTCCTCTTTCAGCGACTGTTCAGCATATTGCTCTCGCTGATGTCTACCTACCTGCTCCTCAGCACAGGGTATTTCTTTCTTATTCTGTCTGGATTGGATTTATGTATGAAAATCAAGGGCAAAATGTGAAACTGCTGAATCTCATGAACGTTTCTGTTCAAGGTGTAATGTGTGCTTCCAGCAGTGATCTCACCATTTATCTCCTTGTTTAGTTTCCTAAATAAAATTTCAGGGGAACTTCCTTATTCCTCTTTGTGTTATAAACACTTTCGTTGACATTCCTTTCAGCTAGACCAAGCAGTGGCTGGAAGGGTATGTATTCAAACAATCTTGTACCAAAATAAGAAAGTCTGATTTAATTTGTCTTTTGTTATTTCAGCATATGCTTTTCTGCTCACAAACAAGAGGAAATTACTTCTCTTGCAGCTGCTTAGCACTGGTATCTAGTTATGGCTTAAATGACACGTGACAGGAAGCAGGCAGCCCTAAAATGAAGGAAAATTTTATTTGGAGAGATTTTCATGGAAGTGATATTTTTTTAAGGGGGATTCTGGTTCCCATAAGGAGCAGCGCTTGCTTCTTTTTGGATAAAGACAAATCCTCAGAGCTTTTAAATGAAGAAAACACTGTGTCAGCCAACCCTTTTTCTTTTTTCTAGACTCAGTAGCTTTTAAGAGCATAATTAATGGGGAGTATAGGAACCATTCTTTCCGCCTTCCCTCCCACTTATCCTCTGGATTTAATTACACTGGAAAATTAAGTGGAATAAAACATCTTGCAGCAGACATTTTGCAATAGCTGCCTCTTGTTGATACTCTCGTTTTAGATGAAGCATCTCAGTTTTTTTAATCTCCTGCCTCCCTTTCCTCCCACTTCCCCATTAAGATTTTGATCTTAATCTGACTTCTGTCCTTACACACACTCTTATGCTCAACCTTCTTAGCCTGTCCTGGCTACTGGATTAAGCATGAATGTTGTTCTCTCTTTGGCTGGCAACCTTCCTCTTTGTATTTGGCCCTGCACCAGACCACTTAGACGCTGATAGCTCTCTGCTGTCTCCCTGCAATGGTCAAATAGACCAACAATTTGGAACAATTCTTTAAAAAAAAGCAAAAAAAAAAAAGCAAAAAAACCCCAAAACCCTCAAAATAAAAACCAAACCAACCAACCAAAAAAAAAAAAAAAAAAATCCAACCCAGAAGGTCCCCTCAGCTAACTACTCATAGCAAACTCAAGGCACTCAGTGCCAAGAATATCCACTGTTTTGATAACCCAGTGCACTGCCCAGATAATTGCAGCACCTCTGTAGGTGTACGGTTAAGTGAAACCAGCTGAGGAGCAAGTGGTTGCCACTGGCTCAGTTAAAGGCATTCATTTTGTAGGCAGTTGTACACCACTGTGAGGATTGGAGATACTTTTATTACTGATAACCATTGTTGTTTTCATGTTTAACTACTTGTCATTCTGATAATTAAAGCAGAATTTGTCTATTCAAATTTTTTGTTCAGTTTGAAACTGCTTTGTGGCCACACTAGTGGGGAGGCACAGCAGAAATAATATCAAGATTAACTGCAGTCATTTTCTTACTTTTGGACAAATAAGTTTGTATGTCCAAGGTGGAAAAAATAAAAAGGAAAAGACCCCCATACAGTCTTGTCAGTATTATAATTTTATCCTGAAAAAAAATAACCAACCCCAAAACTGAGAGGCACCGTGCAGAATAATCTGAATGTAGAGGGCAAGGAGAAACTATTATTATCCAATGACAATCTACATCCTTAAGTTATCTGGGGGTTTTAGTGTTTCACATATGTACACTGATCGTTTGTGTTAAAGGAAATTCTTTATCCTAGGTTTCCCACATCAAAGTCTTAGCTGTCCAGTTCTTAGAAAATTAGTAATTGAGTGGTACAGGAATAGAAGCAGCTTCAGCTGGATGCCTCTGGGGTTGCACCCACAATAAAGGAATTCCTGGAGTTTTATATCCTTATGTTCCGTGCACCCGACCATCACATGCTGTTCATGTGCTTTGCACATGCCTCTTGGTCCAGTGATGAATTCTGGTGTGGTGTCTCTTCATTCCTCACCAAGATATTTCATTGTCTTGAGGCAGGTATCAATTTCTTCCTATGTCTGGTTGTTGCTCCTTACTAGGATGCAATTCCTTTATCTTCCAGTTTGCACTGGTCTCAAGGCCTTCATTTATATAACTAAGCACAATTTAAATTCAGCTTTATCTAGATGGGAGTTAGAGCTTGTGGCCTAAGGCTCCAGTGACTTCAGTTTTCCCATGCTAAGTGACTACTCATGCTAAGCAAAGCCACTCAGACAAAAGAACTCAGTGAAAGGAATCCAGCTAACTAAATATAATTCACATCATTTGCTATGTTTGAGTGCTCACAGGAGCCAGAAGTACTCCTCTAAGATCGGGGATGTAGCTAGAACAGTTTAGCGGCATGACTTGATGTTGCAATTGCAATGGATTGTTATGTAGTGAAGAAAAGGACATTGCTCTTTTTATTATACAGATGCTTCTGTCCTTGGAACTAGACTGAGATCACCAGAATAAATTCATGTGATTAGGTCCTAGAGACACAATCTTTAGTTGCTGTCAGGATTGGATTGTAACCTCAGTTCCAAATAGCTCTCATTACAAAATTTTCCATTTTGCAGAAAATAGGAGCCAGATGTATTTTTTTTTCCTGTTTCTTTTTAATTTTATTCCAGTTTTTTTAAAATTAATTGTGACACAAAGGGCACTCACCCAATGTTGCGGCAGCCATCAAATGAGAACAAGGGTGCAAAACATGGCAAGGCTGAGGCAGCCTCTTTCTCCTCCTTTTGCCATTTAATTACTGCATAGATTTAAACTTCAGAAATGAGGAAAGAAGGGGGAAGAGTGTCACTAGGTTTCTGATATATCGCATGTGTGATGAGAAAATAAGTATGTCTGTATTTGATGTTAAATTGTTGTTAGTGACTGTACTTATTATGATTATGTTACTCTTCAGGTATGAAGCTCTGTTTCCACTGGTGCTATCTGGTTTGATGTTTGTGTGGATAAATATGGAACAAGAAGCACTGCAGCACTATGGTCTTTCACTTAAACCAAAGGTAACTGCTCCAGATAGCTATGTCAGGTTAATTATCTGGGGTTTTCTTTTTCCTTGATGATATAATAAAGATTTTGAGTGATTTTCAGAGAGCAACAGTTTGCATTTCTTTAAGTTTGGGAAGCCTGTATCAGCTGTTTTATGAAATAGGAATGTGACCTTGTAAGAGAGATTTATAGTTTATGTCATTGAAAATTTCTTGGAATGCAGGAAATCAGTTTGACTTAGTGGTATGTTCTGTAGGCTACAAAGCTCTGTTTGAGTGTCGTGCTAGTTCAGCATAAGGTACAGTAAGTCTTCAGAGTAAGTCAGTGTGCACTGTACAATGTCACTGTACTTTTTCATTCTGATGGCAGAATCATGAATGAATGGCTGAAAATAAATAATTTTATTTCAGAAATGACCCATAGAAAATACCAGAAATCTTAGTTTGATTTTGTCCTTCCACTTGTTCTTCAAGGATAGAGTTTTATTTCTGGTTAGATGGACAAGGAGCTGGAGACTAACTTGGAACTAGCACCTACTTGGAGTTGCCTGGAGAAGGAGTTTTGTAATCAGTGCAACTTCTTTCACCTTAAATTGCTGACAGTATACTAAATTTCTCAAACCCCGTGCTGCTTGCACTGTTACTTAGCTTTTAGATTAGGTCAAGGGTTTAACAAACTGTGGCTATGCATTGGTTCAGTTAGATACAAAGTGCTGGTTATAGAGTCAGAGCCAGGTGGATGTGCCCCGCAGCTGTCCCTGGCTTCTCCCACATGTGCTATCCTTGGTGGAGTTGACAGAAAACCAACCACATAATAAATCATGTATGAGAGAATCCAGCTCAGGCCTCTGATAATATGTGATTATTTTTTATTAAAATATTGCCAATGTTGAGTGTCTGTTATTTGAGTTTTTCCTTTTCCCAAGTGAAAAGGAGTTTGTTGACCTCTTAAATTCCATGAAGGCTATTTCTCTTCAGGTCAAGTGATATTGTGCTGAGAACTGAGTGAAAAGGATGGAGAATATTTTAGTATTCTCATTCACAACTTAACTCAACTGAGGATAATCACAGTCTTTTATTTCTGTGCGTCTTTATCCACATGCTCATGTGAGCAGTGGAAGTGTGTGCATGTGAAGAATATTTATGATGAAAAAAGATTATAAATCTAGAGCATTGAAGTTCATTTTTAGTGTAGATAACAGTGGAAGCTCCACTGTTCATTCGATCGTCTCACTTATACAATCTTTCTGGCAGATTCATTAAAGTACAATGAAAATATGGGAAAGGTTTGCACTCTTCATTGTAATACTGCTCTAATAGCAGCTGATAGGGAAGTAGGTTTATTTCTCATTCTTTTAAGTAAAAATACGGTGGTTGTGTCAGAGTTGATATTGGTTGATATTTGGTATTGATTTCTTCTGCTGTCTTTCCAGCTTGCTGTTTTCAACTTCACCTGTGCTACTGATATAACTCAGTTGCGACAGCTCCACCTAGATGATGTCCGCAGGTCTTTCTTCTTTGTATCCTTTTGCTGGTTGTTGTGTTCCCGGGAAAAGATGGGTTTGTTGCAAAAGGACCTGCAATCAAAAGTTACGGTAACCACTGGAAACAAGCTGGTAAAGATTATTTGACTCATGTTGCCCAATAGACAATGGTCTTATACATTATGTATTTTGATTTATTTAATCAGTATGAACTGCACTGTTTTGGAATCTGGTTTCTTGGCCACTTTGAAAAGTATGGTGACCATTTAAGACCATTACTGTTGAGGTAAACTTTCTTCTTAAGGAGTCCTGGTTTTAGTTTGGTTTTGACATTTTGGCTTGAGAAAACTTACTCAGCCTTCACAGATCAGTTGGAAAGGATAATATTAATTTTTTTCTCATTTTCTCATGTTTAGAGTGTGGTAGCATGTTAGGAAGAAAACATTAAGTGCAAGGCAATGGTCATGGCCAGGCAGATGAAATGAGGGAAAGTTCTTGCAGCGTTTGTGAAACTAATGTGGGACATAAGGAACCTGCAGCAGAGGAAGTGTGGCATATTCCTTGTTGAGAAGGCGGTTCAGTGCTAAGGAAGGAGGCAAAACACTTTGCTGGATGTTGAGGTTTTGCGTATGCTTTGGAGTATACCTGAAAAGCAGCAGTAAATTTATTGATTTCTTTTGCTATTTTAACAAAAAATAAGCTAACTTCTAATAAAGCTGCTGCTGTCTGTCAGATGCTAGAAGTTAGCCATAGCAAAAATCAATCCAGTGGTATTTTTTAAATCCACCATAGTACTACTGTAATCTAACGCCTGAATATAGGACTACTTTAGTCTTATCTTAATCTAAAACACTTGAATGTATTTTGTCCAGATCCTGAAAAAATTCAGTTTGCATGTCTCCTTTGCAGGGACCAGGTATAATACACATCTGCCTGAAAAATGTTGTGGCTTTTTTGATTTAGATGCTGTTTAATGTTTAGGAATAGTGGTATATCTTTTCTACTGGAGCAGTCACATTGCCATGATGACCCTGTGAGCTGTATATCTTAAGATTGTCCCATGGTTCCTATACAGGACCCAAAAGTCAGAATGTGCAGAAGGGCTTTATAGCCTGGTCTTCCAGAAGATTCAGATTGCTTACACTTAGCATTTTGATTAGACATATGTGCTGCTGTCTTTTTATTTTATTGTGAAACTCTTGTTCTTATAAATCTTTGACTGGCAGAACTGCGCTATGCTGTTAGACTGCTGTGTTACTAAACTTGAAATGATGTGGTACTCAGGGGAAGCATCATTTCTTTAGTTATGCTGACCTCATCCTTGCAAAATACTGCAAGAATCCCAACAATTCTGCTGAACAGTTGGTAGCAAATTGTTTATGCAGAGACTTAAATGGGCCAGTGCAGGAGCTATAACAAGAGTGGAAGGACCAGAGGGAGCTCTGCAATAGTAGCCATTGTCAGAGACTAACCTCTGCCAGATGCAAAAAAGCAGTTAAAACCCATTCTTTTGCTGAATGAAAAGGTATGAGCTAAAATGGGCCCCAATGAGCTTAGGAGGTAGAAAAGTATCTTTAATGGGCTCATACGACAGCAAGTGTTGTACCTAGATGAAAAAGGTAGGGTTTATAAAAAAAACTTACAGCTATATAGATACTGCCAGAGTTGTCCTCCCTTCCTCAAGGAAGTTAAAAACTGGGAGTCCCATGTTGCAATGGATAGACTTTGTATAACATTTGGACAACAAACCTGTGGGAGGAATGGTGTAAGAGCCTTTAGTCTTGTTTCATAGTCAACTACCTCTTCCACAGTCAGTTCCTCAGTAAAGCCATCTTTTTTGGTGTGCAGTATACATGACTATGTCACTACTTTCTGCAAAAGCACATGTGTTTAAAAGCACAGCTGGGATTGTGGTCCAATATATGTTCCTATATTGCTAAGTAGGAGCCCAGAAAGACAAGCTGCTGCTGTCTTGCAGGTAGCTCAAGACAGGCTCTAAAGGACAGGCTCTAAAGCCTTACCCAGTCTTACCAGTCTTACCCTGTCTTCTTACTCTGTCTCCTAAATTTACATAGTCATGTATGAAATCTTGGGTAGAGATAGACAATACTTTGGGTTTCTTAATGCAGTGTAAAGCTGTAATAGTGGGTTAGCTTCTTGTAGTTTCATTATAGGATTTTGAAAGTAAATTGAAATGAAGTGGGAGAAAGGCTGGAATGCTGGGTTTGTTTTACTGCAGCCATTTCTGTGGTGTACTTTCCTTAAATACATTTAGGTTTTCTTCATAGTCACAGCCTTTTTTGGCACTGGAAACATAGCTTCTGTTAACAGGTATGTTTTATTCATTGATTTGAAACACAGAATACAAAAAATTTCTTTGTGCAGTTGGCAGACTAAATATAAATTTGGTTAGCAAAAGCAGGGCAGCAGAATTAAAACAGTAGTGGAATAATGATATTTTATTTCATTTCTGCTCTCTGTAACGTGTTCCCTAAGAGCCTGAGATTCTTGGTTATGAGGTTGTTTCAATTTCCATTAGAAGTTACTGGCAGTATAAGCAGCAAGAGCTCTGCTGCTCACCATCAGCATGGCACCTTGAGAGACAGAAGCAGAGAAAAATTGTAGAGAAAGAAAAGTGAGGTTGGCAGTCCCTGCTAGTTTAATATTTGTGTAAGAGAAGAGAGCATTGGAAGCCTTGTTTAAAAATGTACACACAGTGTGTTACAGAGATAAATAAATGCACTTTTCTTTTTTTTTAAATTTAAAATGCTATTTTAAAGATAGGTTGTAATGTCTTTTTAATGTTTCTCTAGTTTTGATCCTGCTTCTGTCTATTGTTTCTTGACTGTGTTCAGTCCCTTCATGATGGGAAGCTTGCTTTTGCTGAAGGTTAGTAATCTTACTTTAGTGAAATTCTCTCAAAAGAACTGTTTAATAAATAACATATCACGAACACAACTGTTACTTTGCAATTCACAAAAACGTATATATGTATTTGAGCTTCATTAGCCTTCTTAACATGTGTGAAGCTTTAAGTCTTTGTAGTGTATCTAGACATAGATCCTTCTGTTTCCCAGAAGAGAGAAGCTAAAGTGCATGGAAGTACAATTTAACTGCATTAGACTGGTTTATTAAATTAAAATGGAAATTTTAAATGTTGAAAAGTCAAGTTATTTAAAAGATTATAAGCTTTCCTGTAGTATCATATCTACACAATACCGTGGAGATATATATATATATTACTAGCTTTATCTACATTTCATTAAGTACAGGTTTTGAATGCTCTACTGATACGGCTGCCATTTTACAATAGATAGCATTTCTTATATTTTTTACTGGTCTGTCAAAGATTGGATTGCACTTTCTGTTTGCAGGCAAGATGTGAGAGCTCTTTTCTAATATTTGAGTAAAGGATTTGCCAGAGAGGTAAAGAGGCAGACAAGGAGATGTGAAATTTAGGGTTATTTCTAAAATAAGCAGTATTTCCTGCCTCTGCCTTTCTGCTGCTTCTGTGCTAGAGAAAGCACTTAAGTTACAGGTATACTGCGTGTTATACTGCAGGACATGCTGCAAACCTCCAGGATGTGGGAGAACAGGTTTTAGCAATGCATTTACACGATTAACTTAAGAATTACAGGTCAGTTTTGGAAAGAGAAGAAGGCAACATTCATGTTTCTAACGTGTTTGTTTTGTTCTTAATTCACTGAAGTATTTACATTTGCTTGGTTTGGTTTTGGAGGGGCAGTGTGATCCTTGCCTTCCTGAATACATTGTATATTCAAGTTTTTTTTGTGGTTGAGATGAAATTGTCCTATTCCACTGGGAGCTCTGCTGTCTGTCACATGAGCTGTTGGATCAGAATAGTTCTGTCTTCTAGCCTCATTGAAATGTTTATCACTAGTGATAAAATGGATAAATGAAGTGAGGATCATTAATGGTTTTTAATTAACGTTATCCATATTCCCTCATGGCTTATTTCACTGCAGTTCAGCTATGACCATAGAAGTTTTTTTTACTCATTTGCTAAACACGTTTCCTGCAAAATTATTTTCTACTCATTCTTGCCACTATTTTATTTTTGCAACATGCACATTCTGTGATAATTTCAAAACCAGGAAAATGTTTCCACACCTTGACAAGTTGTTTTGTAAATATGGCTATAAACCAAAATGTAGCTTGTATTTTAAACAGGTTGCCATCCCGTTTGTTCTGGTATCATGTGCTTTCGAAGCTGTTCAAGTCACAACACAACTGTCTTCCAAGAGGTATAGTAAGTGCTATATTTCTGCATCAGTAAGGGTTTCAAATCTATTTTGCAAGAATTCAGAATTGTCAAGTCTCAGTCTCAATTTAAAAACCAAAACCAACCAAACAAAAAACCAAACCCAAACAAACCCCAGTAGATCACATTGTTACTTTTACTTATTATTACGGTTTTGGTTTTTATTCAGTGATTTTTGCAAGTTCAGCAATTCTTTTCTTACTGTTAAATGAGTATAAATGGAAGTGTTGGCCCTATTTGAAACAATCAGATACTTAACGTTCTTCGTTGACAACACAAATGAGCACTTTGTTCCCCCATAATGTAGAAAAATTAGCAGAATTTAAAGTCTGATTTCTGTTTTATATTGCATCTCTGCCTACAGTATTCTATTTTTAATGTAACCCATTTATAATGTAACCAATTTGCAGCTTTGTAGCACTGACCTCACCACAAATAGCCTTTAAAAAAAAAGAAAAAAAAAAAGCTGGATGCCTTTCCATTGCATTTCAGTGCTTCCCAGGTGTGTTCGTATTACATATTTTTTGCAGTAGGACTAGAAAGCTGGCAGTCCTTTCTTCACCTGTATTTCGGAGAGAATGTGAGACAGGTGCCCAGACTATGCAGAGTGCTGTATCCAGACTTGAAATACTTTTCCTTCAAGACCTTTGTTTGAAATGTTAGACTTCCCTCCACCTTTCAGTGGATGTGACTGAATACTCTGCTCATCATGTGCGATTACAGATGGTGCTGAGACAGAGGAGACCCCTGTCAGCCACATGATTTTGAGTTTGTCACTGTGTGATATTGTGGGGTTGACCAAAAATCTCGCTGTCAGTGGCAGGACCGCTGCAGAGACTGTCCTGAATATTGCTTAGCTGAGCAGGAAGAAGCTGCCTTTGCTCAGTGTGATGCTCTCTGACTTTGTTTTCATCCTGCCTGTGCCCTGCTGTTTGTCGCCTTACACAACACCAGTTGGTACTAACACGGAACAGAGCAGCTTCAAATCTGACTTCTTGTTGAAGGACAGCCCAAGGTTCACCATCCCTTTTACCTTTGCTGCCTTAGCTGTGTGTGCAGTGTAGTTGGGCTGTCCCTGGGACCCCCAGGGAGTCAGCCCCAGGGTCTTGTACTCCTCACTAAGGCTTATACAAGTGCAGGGCTGCACTGCGAAATTGGGATTGCTCAAAAGACCAGCTTGCGATTTCTATTGCTAGGGCTCAGGCATCATAAAGGTCAGCATTTCCTAACTTGTGAATGCTTGCCTTGGCAGTGCTGGTGATATTTCAGACTTCTATGTAATGTGCATCTGAATGTGTGAGAAGGGAAACAATACCAGCTTCTTAAAGGAGGGGATATGAGCACATCTGTGCCACTTTGAGGCTGTGGTTGCAACTCCAGCTGGTATTTGTGCAGGCTCCTTTTAGCTGTGCCTAGGTACCAGGAGCAGTGACACTGCCACAGCATAAGCCTGGGAACAAGGCAGAAACCACAAGATGTGCCCAGGATCCCTGGAGAGGTTGTACTCTGATTATCAGCATGTCCTGAAGTCTGAGTCACATTTTTTATTGCTTTTGCTACCCCTGCTAGATAAATTGAGCCATCACAGGGGACAGTCTTGTCTTTGCAGTGCATAAACATGCTCTGAAATTAGTGTTGTACTTCTGTTGTGAAAGGCTTCCTGCAGTTCAGAAAGGCAAAAAGTAGACTTTTGTGATTTTGCCAAATTACTCCTAAGCTCCCTGTTTAGAGATTAAAGGGAGTTTCTGGGTTTTTTGTCTGTTTGTTTGTTTGGGTTGTTTTGCTGTTCATGGGTAATGTTCTGTCAGAATATGTTCTTGGAGCTTGCCTGTGAAAACAACCCTCTAGTTGAGTACTTGCTAGGCTCCACAAGATTGCAACATCCTATCCGAGTCATTAGGAAGTAGGAAGAGGCCATTCAGTGTGTCTTAACATAGAGTTGGTTTATTGCATCCTTATTTACTAATGAAGCATAGCTAATGTAGAAAATATCAGAAACTTCCTAATCAGGAGGCACTGATATGTATGGGTGTCCCTCCAGCACATGTTCATGCAACACTGCAGCAGGACATTTTCCCAAAAAAAGCTTTGTGGATTTGTGATGGTAGTACTGACAAATTAACTATATTCTAGTTAAAGACTTTTCTGTTAATGGGTCAGCTGTTTGCAACATTGCTTCAATGTCATTAACTTAGAAACTAGTTTTAACCAGTTATAGCAATTGCTTTCCTGTAATGTGGGATTTACATAGTTTAATGAAAAGAAGATTAGGTTAATGGGGGGAAAAATAGTTCTGCATGCTCCCTTCTGGTTCCTTTTACTGGCTGCAGCCTACTTTGCAGAAGTAACCTGTCACCTGACAGAGAGGCCCATGGGTTTGGGAGCATGCCACCAAAATGCTGGGTGTTCCCAGAGCAGCTTAAAGGCACTCAGAGATCTGGAAGGGGGGGGGCGGGGGGCGAGCACCTCCTTTAGCAGTCTCCTACCCAATGGGGTGCTTGTCAGAATAGGACCGATCAGCTCAGGTGTCTGTCTGCCTGTGCCAAATAGCTTTGCTCACTCTCGAGTCCATCTTGGAGCTTCTAAATCAGCTTTATTTGGTCTGACTGGTAGGTGAACTCCTTGATCAGGAAGGGGCAGGTGCTGTTTGTAAGATGCTTTTGTTCTCCAAAAAATGACTTGTGTTAGGTTTCTCTGTTGCAAAAATGAAACTCTGTTCATGTGAAATGTTTTTTTCAAGCAGGGTGCCATTCCAAGTGCCCAATGTCCTACTCTGGCTTTTGTAGGACAATGCCAGAGATCAAACTGCTTGCTAATACTTTGAAATGTATTTGAGTGATTGAAAGGCAACTGCAACAAATCGTATCTTCTTTTAATTTCTTCATGGGGGTTTTAATAATATTTGTCACATCTGTGGCCATAAATAAAGGTTGATGGTCTGTTTGGTTTGGTTTGTTTTTTTCTTTGCAGCCTTTTCCTCCTTGTTCTTGTGATTTCAGACATCATGGCTTTGGTAAGTTGTTGTTGCACACTCTCTTCAAATAAGATCAAGAAGCAGAGGGCTCTCCTAATTCCGTCAAGAGAGATCTGAATTAGTTTCAGACTTCAAAGTTCTTGTAACTAGGGCAGTGAATTGGATTTAAATCCTGGCATAATTTAGAGATAAAACTCCTCCAGTTGAGGAGGAGTTTGCGCTTTGAATTTCATGTAATTAATGCTTCTGAGGAAGCAATATTCTCATACTAACAAGAGACCAAAATTAAGTAGTAAGTTACCATTCTGAGTTTTTCCTGTGCTTTCCAATCAAATCCCTAGGAAGAGTTGCAATAAGATATCGGTTGTAGCTGTATGCAAAGTTTAGTTAATTTTTCAGGAATTTTGAACTTTTTACTCACCCCACCTGCCCTTGGAAAAAAGAAGAAAAAAAGAAATGCATTAGCCACCAGCTCTGTTAAGAGTTGCTAGAATCCGGGAGACCAGCAATATCTGAAAAGACACTTAGTGCTCTGTTAGGAAAAGGTATCTTCAGAAAGCTTGTGTCCAAAACCGAAGCTAGCTAACACAACACAAGGCTGAGCCATACCCCAACATAATTTTTACAGATTAAAAGTATGTTCTCATTGTCCCCTCAAACTGTCTTCAGCACAGCAAGCAGTGTCACTGGGTATCACAAGGTAAACAGAAACCTGGTAGAGCTGTTCTCAGCTAGCAGATGCATTGTCCCTCTGGAGTAAGCGTTCCTGATGTGATTTCCTTATACAGTGTGATCTGTGGATCTCACCTGATAGGAAAATCAGTGAGTAAAAAGCAAGTAATGACTAGTTTGTCTGTAGAGTGAGAAATGGAGAAGGTACAGTTTTGTGTGCTTCAAATAAATGTTTGTGACTAATCTGATTATTTTTTTATAAATTCCACAGGAAAAGGATTTAACTACCAATAAACCAGACTCTCAGCATTTTACTAGTGAAATCAGTCTAACTAGACAAAGAGAGCAGACATGTACTGGTGTATAGCAAGCCCCAGTATATCCAGTATACCTGATATCTCATGCATTCTCCTATTTTGATTTAAACATTTTAAAACGGAAAATATGTGCTTGGTGTACAAAACAGAGTATTACCAAATAGGCTTGATCTGCAGCAGCTGTGTGTATATCAAGAAATGAGAAAGTTGTCAGGAAAAAAAAAGAGAACTGGTTTGTGGTCTTGGATCAATGTGGCCACCAGCTAGAATTTGGGGGATTCACTAACACACACATGCTGTCTTCTCCAACATTATTCCCATTTTACAGGTGGGGAACTGCCAGAATTGCCCAAACACACTTGTGGTGGAAAACAATATACAGCATTCTCTTTGGCACCATGTGTTATTTGTGAACCTGTTATTTCAAACAATGAGGTGGCTTGGCTTTTCTTATTGATAAAGTTCTCTCTCCAGTAATTTTCTGCTTCTTGCAAGCCCAGCTTAACAGAATTTAGTCCATCTTTATCTGTTTGTGTTTACATGTGTAACATGTACACCATGTTAAATCTATTTCTGGCTCTTAGACTATTCTTTACTTTGGTCCAAATGAGCATTCCGTGAAAGATCTTGCCCTTGTTCTACTTGAAAAATTAGAAACTTGGAATAAACAGCCTGAAAACATGTTTTTTAAATTTTTATTTCAAACTGTGCAGTGTTGATGTACTAATCAAAGTTGTTTTATTTCCTAGCATTTTTTCTTTTTGGTTAAAGATTATGGAAGCTGGCTGGATATTGGAACAAGGTACAGTATTTTTTTGCCTCCATTGCATTTTTGACAGGCTCATAGGTTAATATTGTTGTTTACATATTCAGAACTCTTGTAATTTTTTCCAATTACTCTCCTTAATCAGGTGCATCAGTTATGTTCCCGATACTTAAAAAACATATGCATGCATGTGGGCACACAGGTATACATATATATGTATATATCCCAAGCTAAAACTTGGGTCTTAAAATCTGTGCCAGAGCAACATGGAGTTAGTGACAAATCTAGCATGGCAAGAAATAGTTGGTAGGATTTGTTTGATTTCTAAAGAACAGTGATTACACAAAAAATATTTTTATTGTTGTTTTGCATTTTAATTAGTTTTAATCACTGCTAAAATAACAGAACTGTTTATTGTCTTGAATCTAGTTCTGTTGTTGCATACAACCTCCTGCGAATTAATGAACCATGCAGAATTACGTTGGTGGCTACCAAGACCCCTGCCTTTGTCTTTCCCCTAGTTAGAGAAGAGTAAATCTGTAGCATTTAAACATAGAAATCACAGTTTAAATGAGAGAATTTGTTTTGCATTATGAGTCATACTGGCCTCCACAGCACACATCATGGGGTAGGTTTTCAACTGTTCAGTCTGTCCTGGGTTACTTGTGAATAGTCCAGAAATAACAAATACAAGGAATACACATCTCAGATTTACCTTCCCTGAGTTGTGGAAATAGGTAATATGCTGTAATAAGATTAGTAGGGAATGTGTTGTTAGTAATCCAGCCAATCTGGTCACTTGACACTGTTACTTAAACAGAAGTTGAATAGTGACCCATTGTTAATGTTCTGTTTAGTCTACATTTACTCTGTGCTTTGCTGAGCCCCAGTGTTCCCTCCAGTGCATGCACGTGTGTGTGCACACGTATTCTGCCTGTTTTCTTTGGAGGTTCAAATTCCTGCTTGTAGCTACCTTTTGAAGGTTCCTAATGGGAGGAGACACAGATCAAAGAGTGGAAACTGTGCTTTAACGTCACACTTCCTTGCTATGATCAGTTTATGGTAAATCATATGGCCTCATCTTTTAGTTTGAATTCCTATGCAGATTAATAAGGGTAGTAAAGACCTCAGAGAAGTTCTGTTCTGCTGGGCAAGAAGCTTTCTAATTGGGAGTTAGCAAGCAAAAATATAAATTGTTACAAGTACCCAAAACCTTGCTCTCTGATATAGAGTCTTCATAGTGTAGAGATTTACAATGCTGATGAATTGTTGGATCCATTTCATCTGGAAGTTTGCCTTATCCTGAAGAGTTTAGGGGAGCTCATTATGCACAATTGTAATTCTGCCTCTCTGTGTGTGTACGCTTTGAGCACTGAAGAAAGCACTGAAAAAGCCCTTTTAAAAGAGTAATTTGTAATTAATTTTTAACATAGTAATGCATAATGCTCAGGCAGCCTTAAATTTATCATTACTTCACTTTTGAATGCTTGACTTTACTACCTGCGTTATTTTACTGTAGTCCCTTTATACATGTTTTATGTGTGTGTGTATATGCACAAAAGGTAATAATGATGAGGTTGCATAAGAAAGAGGTGAAGCCATAGGTGCAGAGCTGAAGTGGTCCTTCTATTCAGCATGAGCAATACTTTGGCAGCTGAGCCTTCTTCTCTGTGAGCATATTTCTAATGTGTGATTCTCAAGCTTGGTGAAATTAGTAGGCAACAGCAGATTTTTGTTTATTCCTGAAAGGGAAGATGAGCTTCATGGGGTTTTGGCAATTCCCAAAACCAGTGGGAGAGAGATACTAACGTGGCTCTTTCCTGTCTTCCTGTTGCAACTGCAGTGACAGCTCTGTGGCATTCCCCTTGCAGTGTCATCTGTTGTTGCTTTGACAGCAAGGTCTGAAAATATCCTGTCTCAGCTGGCATTTTAGGCATTGCCAAAATTTTACCGGGAAGGCTGAGTCAGTTAAGGAAATGATGGTTCTTTTTCTTCCAACTGTTTGTATCTCAGCAAAACCTGTGTAGATTTCATGGAACAAAGAATAGAAGCACCCTTAGGGACAGCTGCATTCGTATTTCTTTGTATTTCTTTTTTTCCTTTTTTTTTTTTCTCTCTTTTCTCTTCTGTTTTTTCCTTCCCCCCTCCCCACCCTGTTTTTCCTTTTTTTTTTTTTTTTCCTTTTTTTTTGTGGCAATGATGGGAAATGTGTGTGTGCATGCACACAGTTAGCAAGGTTCATTTGACGTTATTAGTTACCACATCATTGAAGTCACAGGTGGAAAAGCAGCAATTTAATTGCCCAGCAAAGATTGGTTCCTCTGAAGTCTGTCAGAGTTCAGTGGTATATGTGCCGCATTTGCAAGGCTCGTGATGTATATTTCCATACTCATTCTGCTTTGTGGTGATAGCTTTCTACGGATTTTCTAATTACCACGCTTCAAAACTTTTGTCTGTCCTCTCTCTTACTGAGAATGTGCAAGTTCAGTAGGAAACTCTCATTAAGCAACGCTTGTGTTTTCCAGTACCAGTGCTCTGAATTGTCATGTGTAAGAAGAGCTGGTTTTAAATCCCTTGTGATAAAAAGACAACCTTCACTGCTTTTTTATGGTGATGTTTTATCTCTCACATTGTTTGGAAGTAGGGTTTGTTTACTAACGTATTTACTTTTTTCTTTAAATTTCACCACTGATTCCTGGCTTTTACATCTCATTCTACCATGCCTTAACAAGCCATTTTACCGTGCCCCATATCTCCTTTATTCTCCTGGTTGAATTTACCATGCCACTTAAATACTGTCTTTGAATGTAAAGAGATTTCTACCTTTCCTACTCTTCCAGATCGTTAATGAAATGCTGAGCCACAACAGATCCAACATGCAGTCCTGCATTACCACATTCTGCAAATTGTCAATGCACCATTGATTCCCTCTTCTCAGTAAATTATCAATTACCATAAATATTTATGGCTTCTTAGAAAGTTTTAAAGCTCGTTTGCTTAATGGTCATGCCAAAATCAATGTGAACTTGTGTTTCAGGGAGGTTTTTTTTTTATTGTTTTGGTATAATAACGGGATGATAGTCTTGCAGTGAATGCAAAACTCATAGCACTGACTTGTGCAAGCTTGTAAAGTCTGCTAATCTTAGTCTCTACTATATATCTTGAGGTCACCCTAAACTGCCTCATATGCCCTAGTAAAAGACACCATTCAATTTCATAATATAATAATGCAGTTTTCCTAGTATTTGAAGTATCAGTGTGTAGTATGCGCTTATGAGAAGCTTGTTCTGACAGTCTTTTGTTTTTGAAGAACAAACAAATCGAATAGCTAGCTTTTCCTCTTCATTGTCACTAAAATAATTTCTCTGTAGCTTTAAAGATATGTTTACCTCTACAGATAGAGAGATATCTATATAGTGTATGCAATTTGTAAATAGCTGTATATTCAAATAGTCAAGATAAATTCTAAAGCTTCTTTATGTAACAGTATTACATAGTTTTTTATAGACACATATTGTACTATCCCCTTGCTCTTTTTATAACAGTTGCTGGAAGGTAAAGATACAATCTTAACTGTCTTCTGCAGTTTCAAACTTCAGGGGACATACATAAAGCACAACAGACTGTTTTAGGATAGCAGAATTGATTTCAGGTTTGGGATGTTGGGGCCTCTGTGTCTGACCATTAAACTAGAGGTCTTGTAACTAGAAGGAAGACAGTGTTTACCAATGATTTTTAAAACAGGAGCCAGGAGTGATGTCATTTGTGATTTGTTTTGTGTGAGAGAGGGTGTGAGATCCTGACTGGAAATGCAGGATACCAGGAAACATAAAATTCAGAATCTGAATCTAGGGTCTCAGTGTGTGCCTGGGGGTAATCTTGCAGTTCAGAATAGCATGTCATGAAGAAATAAGGTCTTTGGACTCTTGTAGAGAGTGCTCTTCCAAGTTCTTGCATGAATTGGTTTTGGTTTACTTGCTTTATTTCTAGGGTTTTTAGTTGCCATGATAACTTACTCCATCTTCCTGTCTTCCTAGCTTCTAATCAGGTCTGCCATCTTAGGAATTAGTTTGTCTTGGGAGAAAGACACTTTTTGGAACAAGATTGATTCTCCACACACACACACCCCTCATTTTTTACTGATCTTTGATTCTGATTGTCTTTCCTTATATCTTGCTGATGTTCACTGTCACAAAGCCAGGAGATGGTAGTACCTCAAATGGTCTCCTCTTTGCCCTTAACCCCAAAACAAGTGTCTTAAAAAATTTATTTCCTAGCAGCAGCTTTACCTGTTGACTTTGATTCATACCTAGGGCACTCACCTTTCCATTGAACAGACCTGCCTTACCTTAACTCATCTGTGATCCCCTCCACCAACTACTTCTTTTCTACCATTCTGTCCCTGCTCATCACTTATAAACATTGCCCCACTGTGCCCCACTACACCATTCTCTTTTATCTGTTTAATGTCTCTTCTCCTTCCACTTCTGGAGCCTAAAATCTCACTCCTTTTTCTTATTAGCTCAGGTTTGACTTATGATGGAGGAAGCTTGTTTTAAGAATTACCTTGGACAGGTACTCAGATGTCTATGTAGGAACCATGCTGATGGCAGCAAGTTGACAATTCTCTGGTTGCTGTCTCAGAGTGTCTGTAGCAGTAAAGGCAGGATCTTCATTTGGCTTCTGATTTTCAGATTTCTCATTCAAGCTTTCTTTGAAAGCTAGAAGGAAAGTGGTGTTTCTACTTCTGTGAAAAACTGCAATTCTGGTGCTAGGTGAGGAGATGAGATGTTACCAGCAATGCATGAGACGTTAAGCCATCCAGCTGTTTACTGGAGTGGCTGTTCCTTTAAAAGCCATGCAAACTTCTGTACCTGTAGGGCTTGTACTTGGTGTAATGTGCCCTTGGTGCTTGCCCAAGGGCACCATTACACCATGAAGATAACTGCAAGGAGGCTTTGACTTTCAGTTGGCAAAGTGTGCTTTCCCATGGAGAACTGAGACCAAACCTGTAACACACCCAGGTGGACTTCCAAAGGCAGCTCTTGAGGGAGTTGTGTTATCTTTCTTACTTGTAAATATGCTGTGAGCTACGAAGTCCAAAGTGCACTGAGCGGGTGAGAGTAGGCTTTGTGCCTGACTTCATGCTCTCCTGTCATCTTACACCTTGCCACAGAAGCAGGGCAGGAATATGGCTCTTGTAGGTGTACTGCTCTGCTTAGCTAAAGCTGGAGGGGGGAGATGCTTATGGGAAATGGATGTAAGAAAGATGGCTCCTGATATTTTAAACCTTGAGTTGTTCATATTATTTGCTGCATACAGGTGGGAGTTTATGTGGGTGCAGAGTGCAGGCTGTTAGGGTAGACTGTTGTTTGTTGAGGTCTGGGCCCATTTATGCTGATAGATTTTTGTAATTGATTTCTTAAAATTATGTATTTTGAGCAAGGTGTTTGTAAGAAGGTTTAGTCAGACTTAACTGAAACAGAAAAATCTTGTACCGTGAGTCAAGTCCCCCTCAGTGTTCTCCATCCTCTTTGGTCAGACCTTGGCAACTTGGGTTGCTAGTACCCTGGCTGTGGAAGAGCTTCTGCTCATTAGTGAACTTTTTGGATTACTTTTATTCTCTCACACTGATTAGCAGCCCAGCTTTAAGAGCTGGTGCTTCTCCACTTCACAGAGCTAAATTGCACTAGGCTGGTGCCAGGGTTGTCACAGTCTCGGGGTCGTGAGGATTGATAGTGTCGGCATTATGAGCTTTACTGCTCTTCCGTGTCTAAACTCTCAAACTGAATGAGTCCTCTGGCAGAAATTCCAGGTCATTAAACCAGCAAGTGCTCCTTGCAATCCTTTTTGTGACTAAACTCAGACTTCACTGAGTCTGAAGCTACCCTGCTCGTCCTAAAGAGCCATCTGCTTTGAAATAGTGGGTATGGATGCATTGGGAGGTTTGTGTACCTTTCATGTTAGAAGGCCAGTATCTTCAATAGTGCCAGGAGAAAAATAAACATCTGCACTGGATGTATGATGGACATGGGTGCAGCACTGTTTTGTCTGCAACTTTAACCTGAAATGTCACTGGATTTGGAAAAATTCTGATTTCTTAATGCCTTGTGGTTTATGTTAACAGCAGCCTGCTTCAGCCATTGAACACAGGATGCTGGCTATCCTAGGTCATCTCTCAGTCTGACCCTAAATGCCCACCTCTAACACTAGTGAATATCAGGTACCAGAATTTGAGCAAGAGAACAGCTCTCTACATGTTATACTTTTAAATCATTAGTGATTGTCCTGGGTTCAGCAGTAGCAGTCATTTTTCTCCTTCTTGGTAGCTGGTGCAGTGCTGTGGTTTTGACTTTCAGCCTGGGAACAGCGCTGCTAACACCGATGTTTTTAGTTATTGCTCAAACGTTTAGTCTGAGCAAGGACTTTCTGAGTTTCATGCACTGCATGGGGGAGGGGAAGCCTAGAGGAAGCAGAGACAGGACACCTGACCCAAACTAGCCAAAGAGGTATTGCATACCGCAGGATGTCATGCCCAGGAGGTAACTGACAGTTACCCAGAAGGGCTAGGTCACTGCTCAGGTTGGGCTGGGTATCGGTCGGTGGGTGGTGAGTGGTTGTATTCTCTTCCCTTGTTATTTCCCTTATCATTGCTATTATTGGTGGCAGCAGCAGTGGTTTGTGTTATACCTTAGTTACTGGACTGTTCTTATCTCAACCTGTGGGAGTTACATTCTTTCTGTTCTCCTCCCCATCCCTCCAGGAGCAAAGGGAGGAAGAGGGGGGAGTGAACCAGTTGCTGTGTGGTACTGAGTTACCAGCTGGGCTTAAACCACAACAGTGACTTAAACCCTTCCTAACCCAGAAGCTGTATCTTCATATTGTGTTTATTAGCCACTCTTGAATTCTTTAATCTCTTTGAAACCATTTTTCACCACTGCAGAGAAATACAGAATTTTTAGAAATGTTGAGTGAAAAAGTAGTGTTTGTTTGATTTTTCTTTAAAGCTGCTCATCACTGGAATAGTTTTCTCTAGAAAATTGCACTTCAGCTGATAGAAATATCTAAATATCTGAGTTGTCTTACTAGCAAGGACTGTATATCTGATAGCAAGCTCCCTAGATTTTGTGATATCAATTCACAGCAAACAGAAGTTTTGCAATGTTTTCAGCCACATATGCTGAATTACCCACTTGAATGAACTACACCCAGTACCACTTATTCACTTGGGTATATGCTCAGCTATGTTTTCTGTTGTGGCCACCATTTTATTTTGTCACCGACTTTGTTTTTTACATGATAGTGCTGCTATAACTTTTGTATTCTAGGAGCAGCATATATAAAATGATATGCTGGGCCAGCAATTAGCCCTAGAAAAAAAAAACAAATATTTGGAGGTTGTTTATGTCAGGGAGTTTTTTACTCTGTAAATTTACTTTTTTTCTCTCACCTCTTTTATCTGTTTCCTCCTTGCAGCATTAGCCACTATGTGCTGGTGATGTCTTTGACCATATTTATGATGCTGATGAATGGGCTGGCCCAGCTGCTAACTACACAGAGACTTCAACTTTCCAAAGGGACTAAGCACCATTCCACATGATGAAGTGATACATGCTCCTGCCTTGTTCCTATCCTCAGGCTTCCTCTGAACCAAACTCCACCTCTGGAATGTACATACAAGTTGATGGACTGGAGTGCCAAAATCCCATCCAGGGATCAGAGTGCTCTGCTGATACAAATTAAGTGCTGCCTGTGACTGAAATTTGCATTTGGAGGTTGCCATTTAGGCATCAATGGGGCTCAAAAAGCCTCCGCTTTCTTCTCTAAGTGTATGTATTTCTTGAAAATAAAACCTGAAAAAATCTTTTTAGAAGAAATGGGCAACCATCTTTTGGGTCGGGTTTTTGTTTTGGTTGTTATAACTTGTCTGCCAGCTGTTTGTCTCACGCATGCTCACTCTCAGTAGGAGTTTGCAAAGTCCTAGATTCGTTTCATGTCTTGCATAAGCATCTCGCAGACTAAAACATAAATGAAATCAGTCTGGGCAGATCACTGATTTGTATGTGCCCAATATGGCATGCACATTTGAATATCTCTGAAACTGGCTATACTTTTTGCAAGCTGTGTCAATATGCGTGTGAGAATATGTTGGGGCAGGTTAAGACTGGTGCAATGTGAGGCTGCTGCTGCTAGACAACACCTTTTAGCTAACCTTGGTGTGAACTGCTGCCGCTGACCGTGCTCTGCTGCTGCCTCCTGTGCTCGGGCAGGCCAAGCAGCATGACAGCTCAGGTAATTGATCCAGATGAAAAGGAACCTGATGAAAGAGCTGTAAAATCACGTTCAAATTCCCTGCTCCAGCTTGTGCCAGGGCAGGCAGGAAGGCTAGGGCTGCTTGTTCCAGTGGCAGCCTAGAGTTAAATCAGCATGAAGAGGTCATGAAACTGCAGCTGGAGGTGGTGGTTTGCATAGCACGATGCCATATGGAGGCTTTTCCCTTTGTTTCCTTGCTTTCATTTCTTTTTATGTTCTGCTCCTAATTACAAGCAGCCTGGGTAGTGGCTGTGCCATGAATCAAACACAGACACAGATTCCCTGGTTGTATGCTGACTCCAAGTGAGAGCAAAGAGCCAGGGTGCTTAGAGGCTCTGCTGTTGCAGGTGCATCTGGGGACCCAGTAACGGTAAACCCATTGCAGTGGGCTTTGAGGTAGACTTGTAACTTTGTAGGCCTTCCAAGAGCAAACACTGGCTACCCCACAGTTGAATAAGTAGCACAGACCTACACCTCACTGCTTCATCATTCCCTGAAGTCAGCTGTTGGGAGAATTACACAAAAATTGTATCTCCTGAAGCAAAAAATGTATCTCCTGCTCAGCAGGAGGCTGCACAGAGCTGGATGTCCTGCCTTTGAAATGAATTTTTCCATTTACACCATCAGTAAAAGAGCCTTTGAAGCAGCTCCCTTTGCACAGCAGAGGAAGCAAGTGAAAGTAAAAAATTTCTTCTTTCTGCCCCATTATATGATGGCATTGCTAAAACTTGTACTATGCAATATTTCTGTGTCACACCCCCAACTCGCAGCCAGGCCTTCCTACCTGGCAGCTGATACATGTGGTACATGATGCTGGCAGCCAAGGCGAGACATTCGTCATGAGGGTTGCTCCAGTGCTCTTTCCAGCCATCTGGCATTTGGCCACGGTCACATGTCTGTTTAACACTCTGGAAACTAGTCATCCCTCTGCAGGAAGTTTGGCTGGGAGAAACCAGTCACAAACCTCCATCTGCTTCTTGAGTGTTACAGAAAATATCCTATCATGGGTCTGCAGCCATCTGTGCAGCTTGAGGCTGCCTCTTTACAGTGTCTGAGCACTAGAGTGGGAGTAATTTGTCCACTAGGTAGTGGTACGGTGAGCATAGAATCATAGAATAGTTCGGGTTGAAAAGGACCTTAAAGCTCACCCGTTCCAACCCCTGTGCCACAGGCAGGGACACCTCCCAGTAGACCAGGTTGCTGAAAGCCCTGTCGAACCTGGCCTTGAACACTGCCAGGAATGGGGCAGCCACAGCTTCTCTGGGCAACCTGTGCCAGTGCTTCACCACCTTCATGGTAAAGAGCTTCCTAACATCTAATGTACGTGCATCTTCTTTCAGTTTAAAGTCATTCCCCCTTGTCTTGTCACTGCTTGCTCTTGTAAGTCCCTCTCCAGCTTTCTTGTAAGGCCCCTTTAGGTACTGGAAAGCTGCTCAAAGTTCTCCCAGATCCTTCTCCAGGCTGAACAAGCCCAGATCTCCCAGCCTATCTCCATAGGAGAGGTGCTGCGGTCCTCTGATCATCATCATCACCCTCCTCTGGACTTGCTTCAATAGCTCCATGTCCTTATGTTGGGGGCCCCAGAGCTGAACACAGTACTCCAGAGCAGAGTAGAAGGGGAGACCTCTCTCGACCTGCTGGTCACGCTTTTTCCTACTAGGAATGTTGCTAGCACAACAGTGACAGAAGGTATTTCACATCTGTTACAGGCTATACCAACAGATTTCCATGTGGGAAGGTGGGCATATGCCCGCTGCTGGTAGTTGACCATAAAGAAAAGGCAAGGAACAACCATGGGCAGGTGGAAAATTGCTGCTAGAGTAAAACCTGTGTCTAGGCATGGGAATCTGCCATGCTTGTTCTCCTTAAATCCAGTGAGTCTCTGCTATGGAGAGCTGTCTCCACCTCAGCCCCAGCCTCCAGGTGTCTACAGTGTACTGTATCATTGCAGGGTACTGTGTCATCAGCTTTGTGTGACCTTCCTCATGCCTTGAGACCTCTATCTGCAGTGCTATCATTTCAGTACACACAGCTACAGCCAGCTTAGCATCCCAGTCTACATTGCTGGAGCAATTTTTTTGCAAAACTACTGTTTGTAGAGCAAATTCACTGGTAGGAGCAGCTGAATAGCTGGCATTGGTGTGATGTGAAGGAACTGACTGAAAAAGTAGGAATGTGGGACCCACAGGCTGCCACTCTGAAGGCACATCTTCTGCAAGCCTGTCAAAACTGTGTGTTATTTATGACAAGACCAAGTGGATATTCTACCCTCTAAGTGAAAACACTGGAGGTAAATACAGTCTGGTGGTGCAGCCTCCTGGGACAGTGCACAGGAGCTCAAGCCTGATGTCTTTTCCTACCAGGGGGCTGGTAATAAAATAGCATCTCACCCCGCTGCATCTGGTGCTGCTCATCTGTGGTAGTAGGAATAATCCATATGCTCTGCTATGCAGGCAAGTGGAAATGGCTGTCGGAAGTACAACCTGCATCAATTACTCTTTCTGCTTATGGTCTCTTTCCACAAGGTAGGTTTTGATTATTACATCCATTCTTGTATGAGCAGAAAGCAATTGGTGAGCATGGGGAAAAGTTTGCAACACATGCACTGGTTTCCCCCCTGTGCTCCTCTGGAGGGGGTCTGCTCTTGTTTGCCATTTGCTCTGGTTGGGCCATAGTGGTAGCAGCCTTAGCTGACCTTTCTCTTTCCCAGCACTGGTCCTTTGTATGTCTGCCGTTCATGGATTCAGTTTGTAGCCGAGGCTGTGGGAGTGCTGGAGCACAGCTCAGGTGGAGAGGCAGGATTGGCTGTGCTATTCCTGTGTCTCCCCAGGGAAGGCTCTTGCCAGAGTCTTGGCCCGCACTTTTGGGTTTATTTCAGCACAGGACAGTGTCAGAAATTCTCCCACTCAGCTAATTTGCACAGCCCCGTGGGGTGTGTGTGTGACAGTGTCAGCTGTTCCCTCCCATGGATGCGTGCTCCTCTCTTTTCCAGAAGCAAATGTCATCAGCAATAAAAAGTCCTCCCCAGCCCTAGGAGCTAAGGTAGGGGAAAAATTTGTACTCAGCTGAGTTTAAGCTTTCTTTGACTCTGCATGTGGGTCTTTGAGCATCATCCCTCTTCTTGGAGTCCAGACAGGACTTGGGCCACAGAAGGGGGTCTCTGAGCCAGTAGAGCCTTGCAGGCCAGTGCAGGTATCACCCCGCCCCTGTGTTTTCTGCTGAGGGCAAGAAGGCAGAATTATCCCGAGCCCTCCTGCCTGCCTTCTTTCACCTGCAGCAGAATTGCAGGCTCTCTGACTGCTAGAGCAGGTGAGGCTCCAGACAGTGCAAACCTCCGGCAGGGAAAGATGGGTAGATTGACACTGTTATCTATGCCTGGGGCTGCACAGCTGTTTTTTTTAACTATGCTGATATTATTTAAACCTCTGCAAAGGCAGTATCTTCTTGTTTTCAGAGCCATGAACCCATGAAGAGCTAGCCATAAGCCTGGAGTGCCCATCAGGTGATGTAATGTGAGAGAAGCTGTACTGAAGAGCAGCTGGTACAAAGATCTTGTACTCTTCTGTGCTAAGAGCTGTTCTCTGCTATTGTGTTATCAAAGCTATACACTGCAGCCTTTTGATACCCGTCCAGGGAGTGAGCTGTTTCTTCGGAGATGATGAAGCTTAGATTGTATCAAGATCTCTTATGACTCAAACTAAATTACTTCCCCCTCCCCTTCACAGGGTATATCAGATTTTACAAGCTTTGGCAATTGCAATGCATGCCGTGGCTGTTAGTTGTAAAGCTGCTACAGCCTTCACATTCTTGAATGAGAATATATGAATGAACATTTGTGGTCTTACCCAAAGCTTGCTTTCTGGCACCACCCTTGAACCATTGAGGTTTCTGGTTTGGCTACAGCATGAAATGCCATTTCAGTTCCTACTACCCCAGCTAATCTGTAAGGGTGTGGTGCTCATTGCTTTTCAAATCCTTTCTGATTTGCTTTCAAATCCCTTTTCCTGTGTCCCTGCGGTGTTGAGGGTACTTCTCTCAGATGCCTTTGGCAAAGTGGATGAGAGCATGGAGGGTGCCATGCTTGCTGCTGCATCCTGGTAGATGTGGGGTGCTGTGAGCAGGAGCCAGCTAGAAAGAATGTTCTGGGAAGCTACAGCTGTAGTGGAGAAGGGATAACATCTCTGTCTTGTACCTGCTGTGGGTGTGCTCTGCATCACAGTGGTGGGGCAGCTCCAGGTGCCCCTTCTCCATCTTCACATAGCTTCATCCAGCCTGAAGTCAAGAAACTTTGACTGTCTTCTCCTGTGTGTTGTCTTTGGGCAGCTGCTTTGTGAGCTGCCATGTCTGGGGAAGGTTTGGGAACCTACCTTGCATTGCTGTCATGTATAGGACAGCTCTGATCATTCGTGAGGCATGGCTTGTGGTGAGCTGGAACTGACCGTCACAGTGCTGGTGGTCACCAACTCTCTCCTCAACTAGTCTCTCCTGGACTGTTTATGTTAATAAGGATGAGCAGGGTTGAATCCGGTTAATCAACTGAAAGAGGGTCTGGATTCAGTTGTTT